ACGAGTGGCCCGCGACCGTGTTTGAAACACTCGTCGCACCGTGCCTCAGATCCCGGCGCAATATGACCCCTGAATTGCAGCATTTGGTCTGCAAGCCAGGCTGAATGCTTACTAAAACTCAAACGTCTGACTGAGGGTCATGGAACGAAGGCCTCGGGTGATCTATAGCTTCACGTGAAGGGGGCCTAGTCAACCGCTCATCTTGAAGCAGGATCGCCCGGGAATCATTGGATACCATGACGGACCTCAGTTTGCGACGAGCATAATAATGATTGTCTGGCATGCCAGTCACCCGGCTTTGCAGTCGCCAGAGTACATACATCCTATGCATCATCCATGTACACATAACTACCACATACCTCCCCCATACATATGTTGCGCTGAACCCATTTGCCTGAACATGAACGAGCATCCACCGATGCTGGAACAGGTATGCATTTCTTACCTGGTGTCATTATTCGAACTTCTTTGTTGTTTTTATTTCGAAGAGCATGTTGGTTTCTGTTTCTTTCCAATACCCCCTTTTGATTGGCTGGTATTTCTTTTTAATCTATTCGAGTGCCTTTCTGGACTATTGGTGGATTCAGCCGTCATGTTACATAAGGATTCTTCTGCACCAATTGATCACTTGCCACCTGTGGTACACCGATATGCATTGAAGTATTGATGAAGTACTTTGTAGAGCCGGGCATCGGCCCTGGCTGTAAGGCTGATTGTCCTGGCCAGCTGGCCGGAACATCCGGGGAGTTAGGTCAGCTATGATGCAGCAGGGAGGGTGGAGATGGCGGCCGGTTTTAATGAACGATGCAACGTCAATTGGCCTACGGGGTACGACGCCGGGCTACTCCCCCTGCCAGGGAGTTGCGGCAGTGGGCATGTCCGAACCAACAAGAAGAGGTGTAGATAACGCTATGGGAGGGGTTTTTTCCTCGTATCATGGGAGCTTGAGGGGCGCTGGCTGGTGAGACGGATCATCCTGATAGACGCAACCGTGTCCAATGGATGGAGATGCTGGGATGCTTGGATGCTGCCTGGATCTGGGGGTGAGGGAACCGATCGACAGCGAGTGAGATATCGTTGGTTCGATGTAAATGGGGGTGTACGGAGTAGATGGACTGTTGTCGAAGTTAATCTAGAATCTTGTCTACCAGACAGACCCTGCACAGGAATTTGAGAAATGAGGATGGAAGAGGACTTACAGTAAGTATCTACTTTACTCCCGTAGTAATACAATGGAGTAGAGTCGCATTGACTGTCGGAAGAATAGCAAACCATCAGGTGAGCTCTTGAGGCTGGGGAAGCCGGGAGAGGATGAAGTCCCGCCCGTGATTGGCGGAGAAATGGCCTCCGCCCCCCCCGGTAGGCGGAGTTGGGATTCCGGGGAAATTCCTCGATTCTTTTCTCCATCGCCAATGATCCATGCCTTCTCGACGACTAGTCTCCAGCTCCAATTCTCCAAGTCTCTGCTCCCTACCGCTCTCTCTCTCATCTTGATCTGCTCCCTTTATCGGCTGAATCCCTTCTCGTCTCGTCCCGAGCAGATGTCGTTCCTTCTCTCAAGATCCTCTCTTCCTTGTCTCTTGCTTCCCCCCTCTCCCACGCTGTCTTGAATCTCTCTGTTGATCGGCGTGAAGCCCCCCTAAACCATCTGCTGCATTTTGACTCCGACATTCCGGCTATTAAACGCTAAACCCCGACGCCTGCCTGTCTTTCCGCCGGCTCTCCGTTCTTAGTAGTACTTGACTCTCCCTCCTTGTCTTGCTGGGCTTGGGGTTGTTTGTCGGTGTACTCGGCTCTGGTGCAGATATCACTTTCCCGAGTTTGGTTGGGGTTCCATCAATGCCACATACAGTACATACATACTACATTTATATCCGATCTTGACTTACTACTGCTGTTTCTGCTGCTTCTACTACCATATACTACTTTACGAACCGCTGTTGATCTTTGTTCCGTGATCTCTTCCTCCGCGGTCGACGGGAGAGTCAACGTGACGTATCTTTTTTCTTTCGACATCTAACGGTCGCATTCAAGTATGAGAACGAGCAGTATACTGCGTATGCAATGAGATGATGCAGACAGCCCTTCATCAGCCCATGGGGATGACACTCTTGGCTGATGCCGCTACTTCGTCCCTCACGGCTCTCAAAGGCTCTACCACATCTTCTGCTTTAACTTCGTTAACCGTGCCTCCGGAGCCTGCACGGACGGTCGTCACAGTCTACACTCCGGGGCAGGAGGCCATCGTTCAAGTGGTCGCGGATATCCTCGGCAAGCCATGGACCACCGAAACCTCGCTGTCTACGTTTGGCCGGGGCAGCAATGCTGTCGTCGTGGGGTTTCTCGCCACGGAAGATTCCATTCCAAGCTTACATGTGGATGACCAGACGGCCTGTGTTCTGGTCAACACGCATTGTGTCGACGATGGATCGTTTCCGGATGACGCACTCACCGAGCGCTGCCATTATGAGTTCCTGTACTCTTTGCGCAGTCCTTTCTTTCGCCGCGACCTGACGCGCTTTTTGTCGCTGATCCTGGGCCAGACTCGGCCGCATGAGGACCTGAAGACCAAGAACCGGACCAACTTCATCTCCACGACGTTTCCGGATGTGCATGCGGCCCTGCCAAACCTCGACATTCTCTCTGTGGGGTCGGATGCTGTTGAAATCCGCGTGGATCTGCTGGTCGATCCTGAACCACCCCAGGGGGCAGAGACATCCGTGCCGAGCCTTCGCTACGTAGGGCAGCAGTTGATGTTGCTTCGGCAGCATACGGAGTTGCCCATTATTTTCACCACCCGGTGCACCAAGGAGAACGGCAAGTTTCCGATGGATGACCCGATGCTTTTCTACAAATATCTCCGGCGGGCGATTCAGTGGGGAGTGGAGTACATTGATGTGGAGCTGTGGCTGCCCGAAGACATCCGGAGACGGCTGTCGGAGGTCAAAGGAAATAGCATCATCATGTCTGCGTTCCACGATTTCTCGGGGGCGTGGAAGTGGACGTCGCCAGAGGCACCCCGGATCTTTGCGGAAAGCGCCAAGTATGCGGACATTGTCAAGATGATCGCCATGGTGACTACGATCGAGGCCAACTACGAACTGGAGTACTTCCGATCGACGATCAAGGGGACCTACGGGCCCTACCCGCTCCTCTCAGCGGTCAACATGGGTCAACTGGGGCAGCTTTCGCGTGCGCTCAACACGGTGTTTTCGCCCATCACGCATCCGCTACTGCCGATGATTGCCGCGCCCGGCCAGCTGACCGCCGCCGAGATCAACGAGGCCCTCCACATCATGGGACAGCTTCCCAAGCGGGATTTGTACGCGATTGGATCCTTCCGATCCACGCCGCAATCGATGTTCATGGAGAAATGCTTCAATGAGCTCAGTCTGCCGCACACGCTGACCTCGATCGACCGGGGTCCCTCGGGCTCGATCGAGCGGGTGATCACGCAGCCGAGCTTTGGGGGAGCGTCCGTTCACCCGCCAATCACCAGTGGCACGAGCAGTATCCCAGCCATCAGCGAAGCAGCGCAAGCGATCGGGCTGGTGGATACTATCGTGGCCATGCGGGGCTCTGGGCGGCCACAGCAGGCACCATCGCCGCAACAGCAGTTGATGGGGGAGAATGCGACGTGGAAGGGAATTCGGGCGACGTTGACACGAGACTATGTGCCGTCGGCGTATCGGGGACGAGCAGCCATCATCTTAGCGGGAAGCGAGAGCGAAGCATCGGCGACGATCTTTGCGTTGCGCAGTCTGGGAGTGGGCGCGATCCACACGGTCGGGTTTCGGGCGCGCGGCCCGCTGGCGGAGGGACTGGAGCCGTTTACGTCGATCCAATCGGTGAAGATGGTGGAGCAGCCGTTTGTGATGGTGTCGGCGCTGCCCCCAGAGAAGTCACTGCTGGTGCAGCCGTTGCTGCGGCACTACCGGACGAGTGGACGCACGTCGCCGCCGTCGACTCGGGGGAAAGTGTACCTGGACTTGACGCGGGGAGAGCGCACGGGGGATCCCGTGGGGGTTGCAGTGCGAGCAGGCTGGACGGCGTATGGGATTGAAGATGTCGATGCATGGACGACGGTGGAGACACTGCGACTGCTGGTGGGACAGAATGTACCGTTTGATTTTGTACGTATGGCATCGGGACGGGTGTTTTAGGATTTTTCTTATATAGTATAGAATTGAAGCCGTATGATGAAATAAATGAACTGTATCCACTCTTGGGTAGTGGTTTGCTGCTGCTGCTGCTGCTGCTGCTTTACAACTAATGGTGTGATGAAGGCAGTGTGATGATCCAACAGACGATAGTGGATATTAAAAGCAATCACGGCAACTGGAAATAAATTAAATACTCGCAGTGCCGGGCCGGGGCATATGCCGGCTGAAGAATAGCTTCTCTTGCTAGACTGGAATAGTCTGCAGGGTGATAGATTGCGATCGACGGTTTCTCACGAGATGTTCATCTGTTCACCATATGTTCTGGCACTATTCTGGATAGTGACAGTTTTGTTTGTAAAACTGCTGGATTGCGGACGAGAATCCGTGCTGGAAGCGGGAAAATCCCGAGGATATTTAACCGACAGAGTTGGGGTGTTGCTTTCATGCATGAATTTAACATTCAGCCAACCCAAGTCCCTCACTAATAATATCACTAGTAGTTGACCAACCCTCAACTGATTCAGTTACGACGACTACTGACTGGCACTCTTTACTAACTGCAACTAAATGAACCCCCCGCATTCGCACTGTCTAACCACATCCATCTTAGTCCACCGGCTTCTCCACGTTTGCTTTTGGTTTTAAATCCGGGGTCACTTCGCTTTTCTCTTTTCCCTCACTTTTCTCTCTCTCTCTCTCTTCCTCTTCGGCTTCTGCTTCTATTCTCTCTGCACTTCATCCTCTATTCGCTTCCCACATCCACACCCCCCAACAACGCCAGCTACACCAACTACACCCACTCCATCCTCTCCATCCCTCCTATGCACAGGCAATGCCATGTCCCGCCCCCAGGTCAGCATCGACCGTCTCACTCCCCGTCGCGTCCATGCCGAACCCCGCGAATCAATGAACTGCAAGTCTTGCAGAAAACGAAAGGTAACCATAACTATTATATTTCGTGAGACCATCTACGAATTGATCTGACACATGAGTGCCAGATCAAATGTAATCGGTTACGTCCCAGCTGTGAGGCCTGCAAGGTCTTCCAGTGTCCATGCATCTATGGTCTGATCCCATCTGTCTGCCACTCCAACCCCGAACACTTACTCATTCTGCTAGACGCCGTTCCCAAAAAGCGAGGACCCAAAACCGATGTCCTGGAGGCCCTGTTGAAGCGTGTCGACGGGCTGGAAAAACGCCTCCAGGAAGACTCGCCGATTTCCCCTACCTCGGCTACTTCACCCGTCAAATCCATGGACCAGCAACTGCTGCCATCCGCCTCGACGCCATTCCAGTTCCCTACGGCGCCTCATGGCTTTCCCCCTCCCCCGCAATCGCAGCCGCCGCCGCAGCAACACCGGCTGCCGGATGCCATGTTGGACACCTATTTTGCCCGCCTACATGGGAAGCCCTATTGGATTCTGGACGAAACGGCGACCCGTCAACGACATCAGCATGGACAATTGCCGGTGCATTTGTCTATGGCCATTTATGCCCTAACTCTGAGGTATTAATGTTCCATCGCTTGCAAGAATCTGGCTGATCTTGTAGATATACGACGCCGAATCCACCGCAAGGGAGCCTGGAGTATGCTCGTCAGGCAAGACGGCTGGTCGATATTGACAATCCGTCTATCGAAGGGACCCAGTCTCTGCTATTGCTCTGCCATACCTTTTTCGCCTATGGGTGTGGCAAAACAGCCTATATGGTATTAGGTATGTGCGACGCCAACTGACGCAGACTGGTACTGACTGCTCAGCCAATGCGGTGTCCATGACCCTGGCGTTGGACTTGTATCGAGAAGCACCCGCAGCGCTGCCCGCGGCAGAACGCGAGATGCGACGGCGTCTATTCTGGACCGTCTACGTGATGGATCGCTTTCTCACCTGTGGCTCCAAGCGACCGTGTCTTATTGCCGACCATTCCATCGTCCTGCGTCTTCCGGGCAGCGGGTCTGAAACGGGCGAATGGTTTAATCCGGTCGGCCCTAATATCCACTACTCCCCGGATCGTCGCAAAGGCCCTGGTGGCCCGGCCCTGTTGGTCGACATTACGCGCATTTTGGGCGTCACGCATCGCTACCTCGCCGCAGGGGGCGTCAAAGGCGACTCACACTTTCCCTGGCACGCCCTCTCCAATCTGTCCAAGATCCGCCAGGAACTCGACCTCTGGGCGGCCGGCACACAGGATTTGTTTGCATCGATCGAGACGCTGTTCGGCCATCCAGAGAGCACGCTGCTGCTCCTGAGCAAGCTTATCTATCACCTCGTGCACTGTCTGCTCTATCGGCCCTTCCTCCCCATCGACCTGGTCGAACTGCGCGGCACGGGACAGCATCAGTCGTGGCAGATCGAGGCAACGACGCTCTGTTTTTCGCATGCCAACGCCATCGCCGAGCTGGTGGAGCTGGCCCGACACGCGCCACGCATCGAGTGGCCCGCCCTGGTGGCATACTGCGTGTGCACGGCTGGCACCGTACACGTACACGGAGTCCACTACCACGGGCGCGAGGGAGAAGTGTTTGCGTCGAGCGCAGACTTTCTCGCACGCGAGATGCACCAGCTGTCGTGGCTGCGGCAGTACTGGGCGGGGGTGCAGCACCAGCGGGAGATGCTGCAAAGTATTTCAGCGTGCCATGCCGAGCTGGTACGGACAATGGCGGCGCGACCGGTGCGGTTTGCCCCGGTGTTCCACCTCGAGGACTTCCTGGACCGGTATCCGGGGCTGGCCGTGGATGGGGCGCATTTGCGCTTAGTGGACGGAGACGAACCGTAAGCCACCACCTATTCATTCAACTTACGATACTAATTTGTGTAGGTTACCACTGGACCGACCCGATTTCAACAGACTCATGTACCCTCCCGCATCGACTCTACCCTCCCAAGGCCGAGGATCCATCAGCTTCCAGCCATCGCCGACATGGCCACAACCCGAGCTCGCTCTACCCGAGAGCAGTCTAGGCTTCTCACCAGGGGTGAGCAACTCCCCTGCACCATTCCTCTCCGACCCTTTCACCGCACCAACACCGCCCGCACAGCCCCAGTACGCGACGTTTCCGTTTGAAGCCACGCCGGGCGGACCGGCACTGACGCCGGACGCCCCGTCACAGGGCAGCTCCAGCGCCACCGCAACAGGCACAGCTGCAGGAGCAGCAACAGGAGCGGGCGAAGGAGAAAAAGACCCATTTCTGAGTCTGCTGGAGCAGCTGGCAGAAAACGAGCATTCGCAGGGCGGACCCAGCGAGCTGGACTTTTTCCTGGGCGAGGGGCTAGATATGGTGATGCCCGAGGTGGAGGTGGAGAATCCTTGAGAAACCGAATATACGAGCCATAATTTAAGGCTTAGGGATAAGTGAATACTGGAGCGATGATACCCTGTACATTATAATCGATACCAGCATAGTATATATATACAAAATAGCATATGATGGTATATATAGTTAGGCCACGAAATGATCACATGACATGACATCATGACAACCCTCCATCTAACTTTTAAGAATATACACCGGTTCACATGATACATAAACATCTCCACCTGGAAACCAGACATAATCACAATGTCCTCCCTACTACCATAGAGTGTATGGTAGCGAGAGAGAGAGAAAGAGAGAGACAAGGAATGGACCATAAGATCGACACCCTCGCCACCCTCCACAACTGGACCCAAGGCACCCCATCCCTCTACCCTTTCACGGGCATCATTCAACTCTGTCTAGCGGAGGAGATCTCCGTTGCCACGGCAGTAGAAGAAATAAGTGCATTTATTAACGGAAAGGGAGAAGGAATAGGTATACTCCTATCCTATCATATCATATTACATATATCATATACACCGTGATGCTAATAAAGTACATACAGATGAATGCGTCCACGACCTATGGGCAAGTATTCTACACACGGGGAGATGTTTACCCTCCACAAACATCATCTCAGCTAATGCTGATCCCACCATCCCCAACGGTAATGGCAGCAACGCAAAGAAAGAAACCATCGACACCGACATCTCAACCCACCAAACACCCACCCCGCCTCAAAAGAAACTAATCGCCTTGATGCACGCGATCAAAAATATGCCCGATGTGCATGTGCATATCCGTACACGTGCGCAGTCAAGGTACTCTTGGTCTTCTTCTTCGCAGATGTATTCCGCAAGTAGGGATAGATATTCTTTCTACAGTAATACCAATGAAAATATTACTGAGAAGAATGAAAATGAACCTACAAATGAAGAGAACAATAATGGAAAGGAAGATGAAGGAGAATCCACCGAAGAAGAAGAACTCTACCACCCGTCTTTGGGTGTATATCTCGATGGGACGGTGGGTGGATCGCCTTATCTTCGCCATTTACATGATTCGGTGTCTACACCCGCTCCTTCTACACCAGCTCCTCCCCTACCTACTCCTGTATCTTCAGAACCAAAGAAGAACACCAACGAACCCCATCCCCAACCTCACGAAAAGAATCGACCCAAACCACCCAAACTCCCCTCCTCAGCATCTGACACTACCATCCGGCCTACGAAAACCAAGTCTCTAGTATGGGCCTATCTACCGCAATTCAAAGACGTGGTGGAGTCTATATTCCATGATTTTGGGAAAACACTCGGTACCGACATTACTCCTTTCCCACATATACAACCTTATCATCAACCTCCTCATCAACCTCCTCAAAAAATACATCCAAAGGATCAACAGGTCCTCTACCAAGCATGGATCAACTTCATCACCTTCCTCGCATTCCTCGCCAGGGAAGGAGTATTACGGTCTCCTGACGATCTCAATTCAGGGTATGAGTATGGGTTCGATGAGTTTGATTGGGGATTCAATGATAATAATAATATTATTAATAATGATTTTGGGGATGGAGTCGGGTCATGGATCGATGATCTGGCGATTTCTTGTCTTCGGGTACTTAACAACAACAACAACAACAATCCCCACCATCAGAATCATCACGATAACAATAAGGAACAAATCCATCTGCAAAGAAATACCCAAATCCTCACAGCAACGACCCTCGCCCTCCTCTACGGCGAACATCTCTGGCGGAGACGGGGCGATCGATCCCATCCCTCACCTCCTACCCATCAACAACAACAACAAGAGAAAATACAAGAAAAAGAAAAGAAAGAAGAAGAGAAGGAAAACTACATCGTAGCAGGTCTGACTCTCGACGAATTCGAATCAGGGTCTGTATCAGCATCTACATCCACCTCTGCAGCTAATTCTCCGCCTTTGGCTCCATCACCACAGCCACAGAATACTGAGGATGTGAGTGAGGAGGGTAGGGGGAGGTTTATTACGAGGAAGATGTGGGAATCGTGGATTCGGAGGTTCAATGAACTTGCGGGGGATTTGGGGATGGAGATGGGGTTGTGGGATGAGACGAGGGAGGGGGCGTGGTTGGCGGGGGAGGAGTTGAGGAGGGTTTGTTCTGTTCATCATCATCATCATCATCATAGTGGTCATGGGAATGATAAGTAGTGATGGTTGCATTGATAGGGGGTATATGTATATAGCGTATGTTGGAGGAGTGTATATAATCATGAGGAGATGTCTGCAGTAAAGGTATATCACATCTATTAACATTAATGTAATGTAGATATGAACAATAATGTATGTATTCAATGCTGTACTGTATGTATGTATGTATGCTCTAGCATTTAAGTGGGTGGGTGGTTATGAAAACTTCACTCCCTTGCTCGGATCCCACTGCCCCCCGAATCGTATTCCCATCTCCGGTGACCAGATCCCCGGCGTCATCGGTGGCCGCGCATTCGCCCGTGTAGGCTGCGGTGCCGTCATGGGCTCTGGTCTGGGTGCTGCCTGCGGTGCTGCATTGTACGCTGGCTGCTGAATCTGCGCCGGAGGAGCATTATAAGATGGCTGCGGCTGAGGCTGCGGCTGCGGTTGCAGCTGTGGCTGTCGCGAGATATTCAGCGACGCCATGGCGGCAGCACTCGAAATGTCCCTATCCCAGTTAGTTAACCCGAACTCTAGCATCAGTCGTGTAGCTTACCCCTCTAGCTGGCTGGCTTCCATTCGCCGCTTATGCACAAACGCCTTGCTGTCGTCGCGGAACCGGCCAACGATCTTGGCCAGATCGTTGTAGAATTTCCGTCCCACTTCGATGTTCGACAGGATCTCCTTGTACTTCAGATACCCGTTCTCCAGCTCCTGCAATGCCCGCTCGCGCTCCTTGGTCGATGCGTCGCCGGTATGTGCCCGTGTAAACGCCCGGTTGGCTTCCTGCACCCGTGTCGCGATCTCGTCTTGGTCTTGCTGCTCCCGAGTGACCATGTCCAGGTCTGTGTCATACAAATGCAGCTGCTCCTCGAAGAGATCCTCGAACTGGCTGGCTTGGATCGCCTGCATGGGGAACTCGCGCTCCAACCGTGCCGTCTCTTTAATGAGTGCTTGGCCTACTTCTGTTAGCTCATTCTACTACATTTGCAAGTCACTTACTGATATCGTCTGCCCGCGCCTTGTCCTTCAGTGCCTGTGCTTGCCGTTTCCGCCGGCTTTCCAGACGGCTCACCTCGCTCATACATCCCCGCAGTCGGCTGACCTCGCGCTCGACCTCTGGCGGCAGAGCAGCCCACCGGCTACTAGGGACGTACATCTCCAGATCACGGTTCGTGCCTGTCAACACCCGGAACACTGCTGCGGAGTCTTTCAGCTTCTGCTCAACCAGGTTATCACTGCTCTGGGCCGACGTAAAGTATCCCTCGATTTCGCGCGACGTCGTGTACAACTTTGGCGCAGCCTCCTCTGACGAAGCCCGAGACCAGCGATCGGTTCCGTATTTCCGGCGCGAAGCATCGTCCTCGGCTTTTTCAGCGGCCAGAAGCTCCACGCCCTCGTTGTATACAGCCCTGTCGTTGGCCTTGACCTTCGCTGTGTCCTCAAGCGACTTCCGCAGCCGGTTCAGTCCGTCCTGTTGGCGCATCTCCTCTGCGTGCGATACAAGCGTCGGCGGAAGTCCAAGCGGCTTCTCCAGAGCCTGCAGCGAGCCTGGAAGATTCAAAGACGACAATAGACTAACCGGTTAGCCCTGCCTAGCATTAGAATGGGTCAACTTACTCCCTGAGCTTATCCGTCATATTCTCCAGTTCCCCAATAATGTTCTCATTGATGAGTCGATCCCGACGGTCCGAGTAGATGCTAGCGGCAATGTGCACAGCATATGGCACCAGCTTAGAGAACAGCGGCTGCCCCAGAGGCCCGTTCTCGCCCAGCATGGAAATAGCATCGGTCACCTGGGACGGCGCCTTCGCAGCAACCATAGATGCCCGGTCAATCAGCTTGAGCTCCGACTTGGGCGGCACAGGATTGAGGTAAATGATATCATTATCCTTCTCAGCACGCTTCAAGTCCTCAGTCACCCTTGTCTTCAGCCCTTGGAGATCACCCAGCACAGTCCGGTTAATCCAGCGCGACTCCTTCAACGCTTCATTGACGCACGCCTCGCTGTCCCTCAGACGAGCGACCTCCTCGCCGTATTTGCGCTTTTCCAAGCAATCTAGAGACTGCCGATACTGCGCAGCAGCAGCGAAGTGATGATGCTTAGCCGTCATGTGATGAATCCACTCAGGACTAATAGCATTCGACTTGACTGCATGATCTCCGGCCTCTGCATAAAAGTCCGAGACCTTGGCCGCCAACCGAGCAATCGACGCGTCCTTCAGCCCGTCCTTGACAGCCTTCTGCCAGAAACATTCCTGAGCCTGCGCCAAAAGCAGCTGCTCCAAACTCTGCAGCGTCATATCATCCATATCCTCAGGAGGCGACGTCCGCAAATCGGGAAGGATATCCGATCGCAGGTGAGTTAGAACCCCAGCCGCCTGGCAGAAGTAATTGCATGCCTGCTTGAGGCCGTCCGATGTCGTGCGGTTCACGGAGAACGCCAGCTGCGAGTACAGCGCGGCCAGGTTAAAGATGACGTTCGCGAGCTCGAACCGGATATTATTCTGCGAAACTGAGACCGGTCAGCCACCATCACCTCCCAATCCCTGATTAATATCACCTACTCGGTCGAGACGTGTTGAATCCAAACGCAGGATACCAGGGAAACTCCACCCCAACCTGCACACGTTAGCCTTATCCCTCTGCATCATTCGATCTACTCACATCCACCGGGAATTTCCCACCCAGCCATTTCAGCTGCGCCGCATAGGTGACCAGCCGACTGACTCCGCTCACATGAGGCTCCTGGACATTGATCGCTTCGTTTCGCAGTCGCTCGATGATCAACAGATCCTCGGCGAACATGTCCGGGCGTTGGTCATATTTGGAGGAGATGTATTGCGTGATGGCATTCGACAGCGAGACGGAGTGCGACCGCCGAAACGGGACCTGGAGGATATTACTGAAGAGAGTTAGCAGAATTCATCATCTAGATTATAGCAGCAGCACGTACGACGCCATCGTGTCAGTCGAGAGAGCATAGACATGCAGCCAGATCTCCGGAAGTTTTGTTGACGGAAAAGCCCAACCCCACCCGGGCAACGCATGACGTTGTGGGTGCCTGAGGCAGAAAGTACGTTACACTCCGACTTGGTGGCAGTTGCCACAATACACTATGTATTTACGCCTCTACTGCAGCGGTGTACAGAATCAATTTGTATTTGCTGGTAATATGTACTATTTAGTTCCAGACGTTGAGCAATATCCTTCCTATCCACCAATGCTCAACTCATATCCTGTTTAATGAGCCAGCTCATCCGCTCTGCTGTGATGTATTCAATCAACCAGCCACCAATACTTCTCTAGACGTATTTAACCTTCCAGATAGTCAACACTTCTTAGATGTATTCAATCATCCAGCTCATCAATACTTCCGTAGATGTATTTAACCTTCCAGATAGCCAATACTTCAGCAGATGTATTCAAGCATCCAGCTCGCCGGTTTGCTGTTGAGGAATTTAATCATCCAGCTCGTCAAAGGTTGCTAATTGAATCATCCAGATTATCGATTCTCTTGTTCATGTATTCGTAGATGCTCAGAAGAATCATGTTGTTGATGGCAGTACGGATCAAAATGATCGACAAACCCTTGTAAATGCTGGACTTTGCCATGGCCGAAGCCGCCTCTCCGACTTCCTTGGACTTGCCAAGCAGCACGCTCTGAGCGCGAGTCTTGCGGGTGTCAAGCGGGTAGGTCTATTTCGTTAGCTTCTTTCACGTCTGGTCTGTAGGAATTACACTTACACAAAACCACGGCATGGTGCTGCAGATCGCACCAGCAATCGCGGGCGCTCCCGTTCCCTTACCCATTTCCTTTTCCGCAATCTGCTTGACAGTTTCATACACGCCAAAGTACAGGCCGGTGCCGACGGTGTCGCGCAGGGCATGAAGATGGAACCCGGTGTACAATCCGCGGAAGCCATATCTCTTATAAATTTGTCTGAAAGCTTCGGTAGTGCTGAGACGTGGCATGTTGCGCAGTGAAGGGTCATTGGGCGCATTACTAGAGGCCTGGGAACGGTGGGACATCAGGACCGAGGTCTGAACCACGTTCTTGGCAAGCTCAAATGGACCTGTTCTCGTCAGTACGAACTTCTTAAGTAGGGTATAAACCGCGTCTTACAAGCAACCGGCGAACTGACGAGTCCTGCAAAGAGACCAGCAGCGGTAAAGGTGATTACAGTTGATACAGTGGGGCTGCTGCCTTCCTGGTCGTAGATTTCCAAAGGCGACTCCCCGGTCATTCTCTGGATAAAGTTGGAGACCCGGTTCTTTGCAAAGGCATAAGTGGAAAAGTTCATAACCCTGACCGCCGTAACGCTCGCTAGAGGTGGCAGGGCGCCTGGATTCAACGTTTGCATTAATTATCCGCTGCAAGAATCCCGGGCGATGTCGACCTACCAGCCACGTAACCACGCGGGCCTTCAGTACGCCACAAGTAGCGAACACACTGAGCTACATTTTGAAAGTTGTGGCTGTGAAAGTCAGTGGACTGAAGCATGTAGCAGTCAGGATTTCTCTTACGTCTGCATACGGGTTTTGACGTTTTCCAAGGGAGTCTGCAAGCATCTAGTCAGCTCCTCTTGCTTCGACCTCTTGACGCGTAGCGCGTAGCACTCACCACAGCAAGCGTAGCAAAGACAGTGGATGTCGCCGAGGCCACCTGAGTCTTGTAACTCTTAAGCAGCTTGTTGCGTGTGGCTTCATTCATCGTCAAAGTAGTCTGGGTCGACCGGGTTAAAGGAGAAGGTTGAGGGGGGGGAGGTGAGAAGGGTGCATGTTCAGAGTGTTTGTCAAGAGTCATTCCTGGAGTTATCCCATCTGTGGCAGATGAAAGTGCTCCGTGTTGATTGCTTAGTCGTTGTCGTCGCCGGCGGAGACCGTGAAGGTCAGTGAAGGGAAACTGTGAGAAGCAGGCTGGGGAACCCTATGGAACGCAAAGCGGTCTCTCAACGTGCGAGCAGACCGTTCAGCGTCCCACAATTGTCCATGAAGCAGGCCTCAACAAGCCTGGCGATAGCACAGTCCGTCCACAAGGGAAAGTGAACTCTGGTGTATATATAGTGGTTGTGCAGGTTCGAGCAACCGAGGCAGTGATAGCACTCAGCTTGCACAAGCAATAGTCAAGCTTGCACACACTCGACCAAGTTGTGATAGTAAGAACAAATGCTTTGTTCCAGGTGCAAGAGTATGCAGACAATCCCTCTTCCACACCCAGGGACTATATCGAGACAAACGACGTCGTCTGAGCTATCTGGACAGAACACACAGGTCGTTAGCCATTTGGTCTTTCCATCCGCACCAACCCCGCCATCATAGCGGGACCACAGTATTCTTGATCCCAATTACCACCGTCCGAGCAACAACATGGACCAGGGCTGGTTAACTTACCTCCAGAAGACGAACTCGACTCTCGGGAGTGGAAGAAGGGTCAATGAGGCGGGGACAATGGGCCGTGCGGGCGAGAAATCCAAAGTCGAAATGCAGGAAAAGAGGGAGGAGGGAAGCGGCGGAGATCATCACGATGGACTACCGACTTGGTTTAGGTCCTTATTCGGGAGAAAGTTAAGTGGACTAGTTAAGTTAGTGACCTCCAGCTTGTCTGCGTTTTTCTGACTAAGGCAGGAAATCTCCCCAAGAATCAGGCAAACAACGAGGCATGGGGACTGTGCTTCTGGATCCGGTTTAGCGTGTCAGTCGGGCTGTGACGTCGTCGTGAAAGCATCCAGTGCGACAACCGAGTATTTCGATACGTTCAGTACGACTTGACCAGCAGAGAGGTCTTGACGGGTGTTTCTGCCTGAGGGCAAGCGCGCCTATTACTCGCAACCGATCAAAATGTTCTCCTCTACGAGACATGGTACAATGTACATTCCCAACCCCCATTTGCGCAACCTCACTCTGACAAGTGCTCCGGGATGTGTGACTTTTCCGTATTGGTGCTTTTGTTGCCGAGAATCCACCCTCGAACCTCGAATTGGGAGGCTAAACCCAAAGAGGGAGGCGTGGCAAGGGAGCTTGCGTCGGACTAAGCCAGTCCGGTGGTTGGAGGTACCCGCTCTGCCTGACGAGCCACTCACCAGAGCGGATGCTCACGTATTGACACTCCCTCATGGCCACGCTTGCTGAATAGTCCGCAGTCATTGGCTCCTCCCCGGCGGACGGGCAGATGGACGAGGAGGGCGGGATGCGTCTGGAACTGGACATGCCTGTGGAAGCCAGGTACATCTTTCTGCTCACCTCCAATCATGGCACTCCGCAGCTCTCCTCTACAGCATTAAGTGTCGGGCCAGCTACATCAGTGCATGTCTTGGTTGACACTAATAGAAGTACTTGGTAACATCAATGCTACGAGTGGCCAGAGACTTCTGCCGGTTCTAATTGGTATACTGCTAGTACTGCACAGTTGCAGTCGCGAGGGATTTCACATGCAAAGCGGGCGGGATAAGTCATTTCGCAGTGATAGACGTATCCCTTCTTACTGCGGTGCGTGGCATCTTCTATTGCTCTTGATCCAGTTCCGTAAGTAACTTTTTGGCAGAGATCATGCTCCGATAACATGTGGCCAAAGGAACAGTGGCATACCGCGGTACGAGCGAATTAAAGTTCCCCAGTCATCTCTGGGCAAGATAAGGGCGATGGTGGACAACCATGGTCTTTCATGCCAGTGCCACCCATCCTGAGAATGGTGTCGTAATATTGCTAGAACCTGGCATGACCTGGCTCCAGTTAGATTGTTCTCGAGCGATTAATCGTACCAGTCTATTGGCTCATGGAAATAAACCTCGTCCTGCTGGTGCGTTCCAGCGTTGAGTGGACTGACCATGGGTTTATTGTTGGTCAGAACTCATTGTTGATCCACGGGAGGCCGTCCCCGGGATGGATGGATATGCATGGATCAGGATTCGGTCGATCTCAGCATCTCCTCGATACCCCACATATGGCAGTAGCTACCGTATCGTCCGCACATTGTAGTACACAACATCCCTTTCGTGGTGCATCAGCGGATAGTTCGTGGACACCAAATTGTCAGTGATGTGTGGATGCCCAGTGCGTGTCGGGTTGTCAGTATATACTTTGACGTCGTGCAATGGTGGAGTCCACTCATAGAGCACCGTCTATCAGATAGCGCTACTTCCTCCTCTTCAATGGGAGGAGAAATGCTTACACAATAATGCTCCTTGTCATTCAGGGCTGCAAGATTCTTTCAGCTCATCCTAGTGTTTGGCATCCTCGGGATGGAGACTCGTTGGTGACCTTTGACTCGGCCCGGCGCTTCACATGGGATGGACATGATGTGATGTACGTCTGCCGGTGTCCACATTCTTTTACCCAAAGCTTGGACAGTACTTAGGTAACATTGGTGCTACCTGAAGAGCATATCGGCCAAAGCTAAATATCGACCGGACGCATAAGAGCACAATGCAGTGGTTGTGCATGAACAACTGGGGTCAGCTTATCCTCGGGACCTCGGTCGGCACGGTTCCCCGCAGGGGGCTCTCCGCATTCAACGGCCCTCAGTTTTATCTCCGCTGCTATCCCCATGTGCTTCAGGGGTTCCTTTTAACGTGTCACCTATACTGTATTGTTCTATATCCATAACTATCTATTGACAAATCTTACTGCATTATTGCAGAATCTTTGACGACCAACTTAACGAAGGACCACGAACTATCACGAAACTCACCATGGGGAAGAAACCATCTGGTCCTGCCTACGTCCTGGGCGTGGGAATGACCAAGTTCATCAAGCCACGCGGCAAGGTCGATTACCACGAGCTTGGCTTTGAAGCTGGTGTCAAGGCCATGCTAGATGCTCACATCAACTACGACGACGTCGAGCAAGGTGTCGCCTGCTACGTATACGGTGACAGCACATGCGGTCAGCGTGTGTTCTATCAGTTCGGTCTGACCCAGATCCCCATCTACAATGTCAACAACAACTGCTCCACCGGATCCACTGGCCTCGCCATGGCCCGCACCATGGTCTCTCATGGAGCTGCCGATTGTGTTCTGGTTGTCGGTTTCGAGAAGATGAGCCCTGGAAGTCTGCAGTCAGTCTATAATGACCGCGCGAATCCCACCGGCTTGTTTGGTACCATGATGGCCGAGACTAGAGGAATCACCAATGCTCCTGGTGCTGCACAAATGTTTGGCAATGCTGGTCGCGAATACATGGGGAAGTAAGTCCAAGGCCCTACGCTGTCATCCATATGTATTAACAAGGTCTAGATACGGCGCCAAGACAGAGGACTTTGCCGAGATTGCTCGCATCAACCACGAGCACTCGAAGCGCAACCCATACTCTCAGTTCCAGGATGAATACACACTCGAGCAGATTCTCAAGGCGCCCAAGATCCACGAACCTCTCACGAAGCTGCAGTGCTGCCCGACCTCGGACGGAGCTGCCGCCGCCGTCATTGTTTCTCAGGCGTTCCTCGACGCCCGTCCGCATCTCAAGGACCAGGCTATCCTCATCGCGGGTCAGCAGCTCGCTTCGGACAACAGCTCGCTCTACAACCGCAGCTCCATCGACTTGATGGGCTTCGGTATGTCCCGGGGGGCATGCCGCGCCGCGACCGCAGAGGCGGGCGTCAACGTAAAGGACATCAAGGTGTGCGAGCTGCACGACTGTTTCTCCGCCAACGAGATGATCACCATCGATGCCCTAGAGCTTTCCGAACCTGGAAAGGCCCACGAGATGGTCCGAAAGGGGGACATCACCTACGGAGGCAAGATGGTCATCAACCCGTCAGGCGGTCTCATCTCTAAGGGTCACCCGCTGGGTGCCACGGGTCTGGCGCAATGTGCAGAGCTGGTCTGGCACTTGCGCGGCTGGGCCAACAACCGCCTGGTCCAAGGAACTGATGCCGCACTCCAGCACAACCTGGGCTTGGGTGGTGCGGTTGTAGTGACAGTGTACAAACGCGCAGATGGCAAGGTTGCTACACCTGTGCCATCCGATGTCGTTGCTAAGATCTCCGGGCTTGGCTATAATCCGGCCGTGGAGGCCAAGGGCTTCACAGCGGAACAGGCCAAGTCCGTACAGAGCAAGAACCACAGCGATACGTGGGCATTGGGCGACACGCAGGAGAGGGTTCTGGCACGTTTCTAAGAGGTGTAGCCAGCTTTGAGAATGATACATGAATAGTAATGCAGTTTGTATAATTTCCCATCATCATCAACGCAACCTATAATGCAGTGCCCAGACACAGCTTGTTGTAGCATTCCAAGTATACCCCAGTAATGATCGACCGATCGTACAACCTGCCCCAAACACACCAACCAAATCATCTACAGCAGGACATCCCAGCTAAGCAAAAACACCCATCAATTCACACACTCTCTCCCACCTCCAAATTCCCTCCCAAACCGCGGTAGAAGTAATAAACCCGATGGCTGGGATAAGATAACCAACTAGTGGGGCCATCAGCACCCAGCTTACTAAGCATCTCACTCCACCGCCCGGCATAAATAAATTTTCGCGCGTCTCCTTTTCTCCCCTCTCTTTCTCTTTTTCTTTTTGAAATTCAAGGTCTCCAACATACCCTTGTTGATGGATGTTCACTCTGTTCCGTTAGCAAATTTTAGCTTCGAGACCAAGAGTGATTATTATATGCTCGTTCTAATCCCATTGCCTGACAACTGTTACGGGGTCGTTTGGGTTCGCTTTGAGCATACACCACATATTATTATCTATTTATTTGTCTATCTGTCTATCCCATCTATTATAGATGGGATGTTGGATATGATTGGCGAAGGAAGAAAATGAGCTTCCTAGCTACTTATATTCAATTGTTGCTCAAACTGTTGAAATGTTGAACTAACCACAGGTTTATAACAAGGATGATTGAGGAGGATGGAAGGAAGGAAGATGAAGTCGGCACATTCGAAGCCTTGTCCGTCGTATCCCCATGATTCGTCGAGGTCAAAATCGTGCCAAGAGTGATCGGATTCTTTGGACAAACATACGTCCTTAAATCTCTCCCTCGTGTTGCGGCCGCCTGTTTATTGTATGGGGTGGTACGTGTCAAAGTAGGGAGGTACATTCTATCCTCTGAATTTGGATTGATTCTGCGTAGTGATCAGATTGTCTGGTTACTTGTAGTCATGGTTACAATAGAACTTTTGAAAGATATTATGAGCGAAAACACGCCTTACAAAATCTCCTGCTTCGAGTAATTCAGTTCACATTCTGCTATAACTTAAACATAAGAGATCATGACTGCATGCATACATGCGAAACATCAACCTGAAACTGACCGACAGTTTGTACAGCGAGAATGACTACAAGAAAGGCACTTGGTGGCTTCTGCAGCTGCATTCCGTGATTCTCCACATCGACAACATACCCACCAATAAATCTCCAGGATTGAGATTCCGCTGCTGCGTCGTTGCCACAAGACGTTTCCTCCCAAGTGCTGGGGCCTGATACTCCGTTCCGCTTTTCATAATAATCATCTCTCCTTGGTTGTCTCCAGAACCGTCCTGGTACGTTCCCATAGGCGCGACAAGCAGGATTGTATTCGTAGTCTATAGGCATCTCTTCTGGATTGTCCACCAGCAGATGCGGACGCAATGCAAGTAGTGCCAGTTTCTCAAGATGTTTGGCAACATGACTCTCCCAGCAGCTTGTGTCGGATGTCGTGCTCAGTGTGCATAAGGGACACTTCGTTGGGCACTCTGGTTGGCACTCTGGTTGGCACTCTGGTTGGCACTCTGGTTGGCACTCTGGTTGGCACTCTGGTTGGCACTCTGGTTGGCACTCTGGTTGGCACTCTGGTTGACATTCTGGCTGACACTCTTCTAGTACCCCAATAGTGCCCAACCCCTTAAGATGAAGTTGGCAGTGTGCGAACCATTCTTGCCGTGATTCATACAAACGAAGAGGCGATGGACAGTCTGGGAAGACACAGACATATGGCATGATGTCGTTGAGGACGTGCTGGGCCCAAGACTGCTCACTGCAACTAATCCTGACCATGAAAAAGCAATAAGGGCATACATACGCTTCCTTCACTGATTGGCTGGGAAAATAAACAAATGCTTCATCACCTTCTTCCTCAAGAATCGCTGCACGCGAGCAACTGGAATTCTTGCAATCCTCCTGTTCCCCAAGCTGTAAGCTGCCCCGGTTAACAAGCCTCGGTGTGGCAGGCTTGCCATACATGACACTGTCCAATCCTCCAGCGAGTTCTATTTGACATCTGCTTCTATACTGCAGAATTGCCAGGCGCAGTGATACCGTTCTGCTAAGCCGATCGACGATCCATTTATCTGCCCGACGATAACTAGAGCGAACGAGCCGTTGACCGAGGGGCTCAAACTGGATTATATCATACTCCTTGATCCCTAAAACATAATCATGCTTGGAAGGTTGGCGAATTGCCACTGAAATTCGGAAGAGGCAGTCCACTGCATTATGCACTGAGTGATATAATGATTGGAGCTCTGTCTGAAGGCCTGGCTGAAGCTCTTCGTTCATATCAGGATTCAGAGGCTTCCTGCCATCTGAACCGGGATCTGCAATGACCAGCAAATCTTTACAGTTCCTTTGAAGCTGTTCTAGAAGGCGGGAGATCTGATCCCTGAGGTGAGATGAATCGCGCAGTCTGTAGTCCAGGGACAACGAACCGCATTCATCGGCTCCAACGTCGGCAGCCCACACTCGCATCCGCCCTATTTCATCTTCCCAGAGAGACGCGGGAACCGGATCATCGGACAGCGCAAACCGTGCGTCTGAGATCCAAAGATGCAACTGTCTGATGACGGCGAATATGGATGGTGAATTAGCCTGTGCCATCTTTGATGCTATGGGGACAAATTGCCTGCTCTGAGTTGAGGGAGGTCGCAGTGAAGGCTCTTGCAAGCGCCAGCCTGACGTGAGCAACTCATGTATTACAGAGGGCGGGGTATGAGGGTCATTCGTTGCCTTCCGTTCAATCTCAGCCTCGCCTGCTATACGGTCTGTCTCTTCCCCGTTGCGTTCCATATTCCAGCGCTCCAAAATGGCTACTGGGATCGAAGCAGCCAGTCTCGTTCTGGCCCTTCTGCCATTGCTGGTGAACCAGATCGACAACTATATCCAAGGGTTCCAGAGAATGACATGTTTTAAACCGGAGAATTACTGGAGAGAAATGGAAAGCTACCGCAGCATCTTGGAAACCGAAAGGGCAATTTTGCTTAATACACTGCTGATCGCCGTGGACGGAGACACTCACTATGAATATGGCGATTGGACCCGCGATCCCGGTTCGGCATTCTGGACAAGCCAGGACGTATGGCAAAAGCTTAGACAGAAGCTCGGAAGTAGTTACGAGCCATTTACGAGCACAATAAATGTGCTATCAGACCAGCTAAAAAACCTATCCCAGAAGTTGGGCTTGAGTGTTGACAGTACTGGCAGAATAGATGTGAGTCGAGCAAGCAACTTTCCTTCAGAAGGTTTCCAAGCCGCTGACCAAGTTCACGTGCCCACCAGACAACCAGTACCAGCTCCTTCGAAGAACAGCTCAAGAAAGTCCGCCGTATCTTCCTACATCCCGTTTACAAGGATTTGATCCACCAGGTTGAGTCTAACAACCGCCGTCTACAGACATTGGTGACGCAATGCAATCAGATTCGGCAGATAAACGCAGGAAGGGCCGTACTCCCAGTATCGCCAGAGCAACATCAAATAGGCCGTCGATTAGCAAGCAGCCTGTATAATGCGATCATTAACGGGGATTATTGGCGGTGTCCCTGCAAGTCTCAGCACAGAATTTACTTTACGTTTGACTCCTCGAAATCCCCATGGACTAGTGACCCGTCAAGCGAACAGAAAACTAAATCTCGAATGGCCATCAAATTTAAATTGGGCGTCATGACTTTGGGGACCCCAAATCGCTGGCATGAAATCCAGGCTGAGCCAGAAATTCATAGTCTCTCGCAGGGACTATGTCGTGATATCCATATTACGTCAAGCCAACAAGGGTTGCCTATTGATGAAAACATACCCAATATCAGATTTCCCCAAGGGGTTTCAGGTACCCAACAAGGGACCGTCATTGGGGCCGAAAACCTGCCCACCGCAGTTCAGATCGCCAATATGTGCATTTCACTGTCGGCCATCGGTATCAACGAGGGCAGACGGATGCTTCTCGGATACGTGACCGACACAAAGCACAAACATAATATATACCATCTGCGAAGCAATACAGAGAGCGTACGGAACATGCAGTCACAAACTCTTGAAGAGATACTTGCAATATTGGCCTCGTCTTCTGAAATTACTGGTCGAGAAACCCTTCCGATTGTCAAGCGCTTACGAATCGCGGTGGATCTTGCATGTGCGGTTTTCCAGTTTGACGGGAGTTGGCTCAGAAGACAGTGGCGAGCCCGAGACATCAAGGTCTCTCAAGATTCAGGCGACTCGACACCCAAAACCTATGTTGAATGGGACCTGAATAACGAGCCCAGACGGCTGCATGTTAGTCAGGTACCGGCAGGCGAACCTTTCATCCATTTAGGGTTCGTACTGGTGGAGCTTTCTCAGGGTAAGACCCTGGAGGCGTTACAGACACTGGAAGATCATGATCAAGTGCAGGTTGTGGCTAATCGCAACACGGCACTCCGTCTTCTACCACTTGTGGAGGCGCACATCGGGTTTGGATATCGCCAAGTGGTAGATCAATGCCTGAATTGGCCGAACTGTACAGTTGACAATGTTGATATCTCCAAGGCATATCGGTCGATTATTGCGCCATTAGTGGCATACTGGAGGCTTTTCGAAGGAGAAAAGCATCTGAACTGAGGGACGGTACAGAAATTGAAAAAACATTTGAGTTCCTTTGGTGAGTACTCCTCCGTCAACATGGCTACTGCACCATACCCATGGCTGATAATATAACTAAGTTCTGCGTATTTCCTAAAGCAGTGAGATAATGCATCATCAAATTGCACAATGCGTTGTTAATAATTGAATGGCCATAGTCCGCATCACTCAATTGACTACTCAGGTAAAAACAAAAGGCTGGACGATCTAATTAGCAAGGAAGTATGCAAAGAATTTTACGGAGTAGATTAATCTTTGTAGTTCGACACTTGTTTAAGAACTGTTTCGAACCTCCTGGCAATAGCAAGTTTGCGACTGTTACACAACCTCACCTTACAAAATTCCACGATGAAGTTTCTGCTACTACAAGGACGACGCCCTTCATAGATTGCGATCCCTTCCAAGCTGGCTTTACTCCCGTAATCCAGCAGACAACCCTCCTGTCATCGTGAAACAGACGCGCTAGTCTCGCAGCTGCTGTCAGGCATGCATCCTGGATGCACGCGCGGCTCTCCTGCAGAACAGTTAAGAGGAGTAAACCATGCCGCGCAATAACCCAAGGATATTCAGACACTTGTGTAAGACTCTGTCCCCCGGAATGTGCCCTTCCTCCTGCCGGTTTGCCGATCCATATACCCATCAAGCTTTATCCCTCCACCCTCCTGCACGAGGATACGCCGCCCTGAGCACCCCTTGCGTCCATCAAGGTACACCACGGGATAATCAGCCAAACAAGAGCCACCATCACCCAAGCCCTTGGATTCCCCAAATATGAGCCACGCGGATCATCAATGTTTTGAGTACATCGCGAGTGAGCGCGGTCCCTTCGTTCTCCTCCCAACCAGGGGAATGCCAGACAATCTACTGTGGACCTGGGAAGCCAAGGACAGATATAAAAATGCCCACGAGGTCAGCTCGGTAGCACACCAGGCGAGCATTCGGATTCATCTCTGATCTGGTCGTTTGTCTCATACCTTCTTCCTCTTCTTCTATACTTCCATTTGCAAGCTTGATCACACTTGGCTATAGATCGATCTACATTCATCTATCACGCCTGTCCACTCTTTTATCTATTTATCTCAAAATTCAATTCTTGATCTATTTCCCTACTTTCCACATACCCACACATCGTCACAATGGCCCGTCTCAGCATCTCCATCTTCGTCCTCTGCCTCTTCCTGGCCTTGATGGTCACGGCCATGCCCGTTAAGCGAGAGGACTCCAGTGGTAACGAACTGGACGGTACTCTCGCCGAACAGGTCGCAGAACAATCCCTCGAGGTAATTCAATCCCCCTTTTCACAAAACACACCTTTCCACTTTAGCTAATGTAATAAACTCCTAGTCCGCTAGCAAAATGCTCGAACAAATATCCGGCAAGGAGGACGACGACCAGAAGAAGGACAATGACAGCAAATCCGACACCCCCAGCAGCACCACCGACCAGCCCGCAAATGAGTCCAAGGCTGCCCCTAAGACCGAGGAGAAGGTGGCAAACACTGAGCCCTCCTCCACCACCCCTTCCTCTACTGCCGAGGAGACACCGTCCACCTCTAGCTCTGCCCCTTCGACCGCCTCTTCGCATGTCGTCAATGACAACCCGCTCTCCAAGATCCCTCTTGTGGGTGAATTGTTGAGCGGTGGTGGAGCCGGGTCTCTTACTGGAGGGCTCTTGGGTTAAATCAGTGAGTGAGTGAGCGGATGGTGGAGTGTGTTGTCTGTTATTCTTGTCATGTGTGTTTGGTTTGATGTGCATGCATGTGGAATGCCACTTGATACCTAGGTGGAGAAGAAAGGAAAAAGATCTTTGGGATGGACTTGACTGCGTTAAAGTTCATCTTGTTTACTTTTTATTATTTGAAAACAACTGTAATGGTTTAGTGTAGCTAGCTAGATACATTGAATGAAATCCATATCATCAAATTAAATCAAACAATTTTATTAGGGAGGATGAGTCTCGCTGGCTTATAGCAAACGAAGAACATGGTTCCGAGGGTAGGTCGGCTCATGGCTATCACCCAGGATGGAAAAGGAGACTTGGCATCCGTCGTGGGTGTCTTCTGAAGCAACATGACAAGTGAGAAGTCAGGGTGTAACAAAAAGGCAATCTGGAAGATGTTGCACAGGGGACAATGAGAACAAGAATGGACGTCACAAGGGATCCATCCGAGCAACAGACTTTAAGAGGCGTAGTAGTCTGCTAGTTATCCAGCGGAGTGACATGCAGAATATCCATCGTAGAGATGGATTACACAAGAAGCTCTTGGTCAGAAAAATGATTCGTATCCGTCGATGGATAATAAAACAACATAACGCAACGTACAGAGAACGAACAAGAATATCCTGGACAGCACGTCGTGCATCTCCAAGCCATTCCGATCAGCCTCAACCAGAGACGGTGCCAGAGAGGTCGAGTAGGAGTCATTCCGAGTGGTGCTAGTTGATATCACTAGACGGCGCACACCCGCAGGACTTAGTGGTCTCTTCGTATGAGAGTGCGAATTGGTCAAAATGGCGCGTTGACTCGACCCAGACATTTCGCATATCCTCAGTAGCCTCCAGCCCGAGCAACCACTCATCGGGGTCTCTTTCATCTCACCTGATGTTGCTCTATTGCCAACGGCTTCTTCGTAACGAGCACTCTTTCAAACCAAGTCAATGAATTCTACATCCCCACTTCCACCCATCATAGCCACGCTTGAGACGGATGTTCATCTGGTAGAAAGACGCATGCGAGATAAGAGAGAACTCTCATATGCGACATGCCAAGGGGATTTGGTCGGGTCGTGGCTTCAGATTCGGTCCGAGACTGTACTGTGCGCAGAGTGAGGGATCCTGCAACCTGTAACTCTTTCTGTGAAACCAGCCGACTAGGAGCTGCAGTGGTGCAAGCGATGTGGCCGTGAACGGAACAACGATGTCAAAGCAAAGAGGATGTCCTCAGGAAGACCTATTGATGGAGACCCAACACACCCCTCCCCCCGGCCCTCCAACAGTGAGAGCCCCGTGATCTACAAGGCAAGGCGTGTGAGGTACAGATTGAAGCACTGGACAAGACCCAAACCCTCGAGATGTGCGGTGAGAGCAAGTACAGTAACCGAGCCGGACAAGCTCATGAAGCATGGCCCTCGCTCCAACAATGGCGCTTGAGAGAACTCGACTCAAGCGATTAGAGTCACCAAAGGAAGGCCTAGAAGCCCCTCGTGCTTTCCTTTGACCGTGTCGTGCCGAGACCGCAGGCCAGATACCAGTTGTACATACCGCCGCGATTGGATGTACCTTGTGAGTTCCTCCATACGCGCGTTTAAGCCTGAGGGGTGTCATGTCACAATCCATTTTCGCTCAATTTACCAACATGGCAGAATAATAGTGTTGAACAGGATGAAGAGCCATATTTTATGATACACGGGTTTAGCAGGGGCGGTCTGATTCCGCATATCCAATGGTATCATGCAAAATCAATTTGCGATTCTGGCGTCAACCTTGCTAAGGAGACCCGACTTTACTTGCCAAGCATAGGCTGGGATGGCGGAGTCTGAGATGGTGTTCCACTTTGGTGACATGATGGGATAAGCGACCAGGACATTCTTCAATCTTCAAGGAAGTTTGAGTGCGGAAGTGTCCGTGGATTGAAACAATCAGATGTGTATTGCTCTTGGTACTGCTCTCACGATCTTTCAGAATCCCCGAAGTGAAAGATGATCACCCCCGTCTTGGAGGACAATCAGAAGGGTGGGCATTGGCGTTGACCAACTGTACAGAAGCGAAGTAGCGGAGTTGGGGGGAAGAAGAGCACATTGAGATTTTGTGGCAGGGAAGGTGGTGGGTAGGAAGGTGATCGATCTAGCATGGTCGACAGTGCTTTGGGCGTTATGATGTATGGAAACCGACCTGTCAGGAAGGTGGTGTTCAATCAGTGTTGCGTATGTGCAATTGCCACAGATCGATTATCCCGCATGGTGCTTGAGCACGCGTGGAGGCTCCCAGAATTCGTGCTCCCTGAGAAGGGAGAGCAGCATGATATGTTAAAGATGGTGACCTTGAATCCTGATTGCCTTGCGCGGTGGCTTGTACTCTCCACGGATCCAACAGTATCTGGAAGGCAGAAGATGACTTTCCGTATAGCCAGTCAACACAATCGCAACCAGAATTCTCAAACGCCTTATTACTGCACTAGCAATTATCCACGCTGGTCGTTGACTAGTGGCTTCCGAGTAGAGTGTACCTTTATTCGTGACCGCTCTGTTCCCCTCTCGGAACTTGTCCAGTCCTCAGATGAGACTAGATTTCCTCCAGTTTCTGTCGCTTCTCAGAACAAAATCTAAGAATAACTGATAAATCGGAAGGAAACCAGCTAATGATTGTAGTCTCGGACTCGTATCCCACAGTATGCTGTGATCATATGCAATCAGGCTCGCGCGCGCACTCCACGTTCAAATTCAGTCCACCAGAGGCGCAAGTGGCCTTGGTAGTGGTTATCCCTCCTATCCAGCAGTATGTGACGCTCTGCTTATGACCACGTTCATTGTGATATGCAAGGGTCATGTCCTCTGAATGTGACCGTATAGAAACATTGGGACCGAGTCCTACTACCAGCCGCATGGCAACCTTGTTGAACCGTCTATTGCAGCCAACACATCAGTTCGGTATGTAGATGTGAGGAAACATGCGGACCACTTCGACGCTGTCGACCTCGTCCCGAAGCTCGGTTCCGAAGCTCTTAATTCGACCTAGACCGTTTTACCTCGAACTGGATTTCCACTAGTGCAGAGCCGGATGTCTTGATTGACAAGCCTATCAGAATACCGTTCTCATAAAGATCATGATCTGACGGGACATACCGCCACGTATATCGCTGTGGCGGCTTGAGGGCCTGACTGATAGGCGAACTCTAGTCCAAAGATTTCATTGCCATAGCAGGCTGAAAGCTTCGAGTACGACAGGCACATTTGATGGCCACATCCGTCGCCACGATGCCTGCTCGTGGAGGACGACTTTTTTCAGCTCGGCATCCTCAAACCATGCAAATTTTCTGCTGGGCCCATCCTGAATAAAGTAGTCCCCGGTATACTTCCAGCATTGTGGGGGACAGAACCACTTTTTGAAGAAAGGGTTCAGCGCCGGCTCTGGGGATTGTTGGCCTTTCCGTTGGGTTTTCGGGGGCCGGGGAAGCATTGTCCCATGAGATATAGACTCACGCCTTGACAATCTTTCTCCTCCAAGCAGGGCCGTATTGTCTCCGAAAGTAAAGCTTCCTTACTCGGTTATAGGGTGGAGACAGTGTTGGGATGAGGACGCAAGATCCCTGGTTTCCATATGGGGAGATGACTGCGCAACTCCAATCCGAACCCGCGCTGACTACCCATGAGATAGCTGTCAGCTCCTTGTCCGAGACCAAATCCTGTGAAATAAGGTTGTTGTCAATAGGGGTGCACTATCCTTGGAGCCAATGCAAATGCGGAGATTCCTCAGTCGAGTAAACGCATCAGTAAATGGACCCTGTCCGAGGCGTATTCCTTAAGAGTGTGTTTAATTCTATCCGCAGATCGGCAACCTCATCAATGAGTTGACTGGCGACGGTGGGTTGAAGAGCAGAGCATAGGACACGACTGTTTTACTGCACTCGTGGATAGTTATCGTCTATGGATGTCATAATGATGATTGCGTCGGGGGTTGGATCTGAGCCTTCGGAGGATAGAGTATTTCTACTAACAGGTATTCCTGTTATATCGGCGGCTATAGTGACAAGCTTATAAAAAGCGAAATCAATAGCCGGCATACTTCATTTGGCTGGTGGTCTCGCCGTCGGTGGGATGTCCGGATAAGGCGTTTGGCTGGAGTGAGATTTCGGTTCGGTCTCACCACTGCCGGTAGACCAGAAGTTTTATTTGAAATACTGGCTCGCTAGGTAATGTCTGATATATATGTGGCCTGCACCTATGTTAGTCAAATCAAGACGAGAACGCTTTTCGTTCCATAAGAGTACAGTACCTACCACATCCTCCAGCACCAGGCCGGTCTGATACAGCACTCCCAAGGTTATGACCTTCCAGATTATAAGCAACCCTCAAATCTTCCGAAGTCCACTGCATCTTTATAACATGCGATGTCCACGATGTTCGGCTGATAGATAACCAGGGTAAAGTATACTGAAGCATGTTTCCGCTGAAGTCCTTCATTTGCTCACCCAGGTTAACAGATAATCCAGGGCAAGGCCAAAATAGCGACATGCCAGAAAGGTGATGGAGGGGTTGTTTCTGGGCTCTGATATAACAGCTTAATTGGTCTGGAACGCCTTCGCAGGCGCAGGATTTGGATTTTTCCTTGCATGTGCTGTGCGATGCGAGGCCTTTACAGCTTTAGTAGAGTGGATCGCAAGATGAGTCTCTTAATCCCGAGAGCTATCTCAGTATTCTCGGGCCGCAGCGCACGTAGTCTTATTTCATTTGTCAGAAATACATCCGTCATGGTTGATGTGATATCGTAGGCTCGGGAGCAGTCAGGAAGACCGAGTACGAGTAATCCGGTTTTCGTGTGCTCACGGCTCTTACCGAGACCCGGGCATTATAAGTTCTGTAATGAACTGTTAATCTTTCTTCCGAACGATTGGAGGAGGATGGCTTCGAGAATCTCCGTGGCTGCGGATACGGCAACATCTGAGGCTATCTTCAGATCGAGTTCGGTAAATATTTCGAAATGAATGGCCACTAAGCGCTTTGTCGATGACTCTGTATGAGACCAACCATCGAGATGACAGTTTATCCGCTTTATAGAAGCTGGAAGAGACATGTACACGCAGCACGACTTTCCGGCGCGTAGCGAAGTCCTTAGGTTCGTGGGACTTTCGGATGTTCGTTCTAATGATTCGTACACAAAGGGCCTCGGAACTTGTAGTCATTGGAATCATGGCATTAAGGCCGGAATCGCAGGAGCAAAATGCGGTCTGCGACAACATAATATATTCCTGAAACGAGGAGAATTGTGCCGTAGGCAAACTTTGATGGCATTATAGGACTGTTGGACAGACATGACCAGAATCAATGGAAGCGGCTGGACCATAGACCAGCAAGCAGATACCGAGCGGTAATGTTGATGTCTAAGTTCAAAAACTCTTCGTGCTTCAGTTGCGATATCTGATGATTTGGCTCGGTGAAGTCAAAATTGACATGACTGGAGCTATTGGCGATGCGTCGAGGCTCGGGAAGTTCACTCACTGCGTCAATGAAATGCCAAGTCGCAAGTGAAAGTATAGATGCGGGCTGCAGCATGTCGTATCATTGTGATGCGGCGTATAAGAATGGTACATCAACGGCAACATGGTATTCTCGGAATGAACTTCTTAGAATGACACCACAGAAGACAGTTCTCAGCCAGGATAACATCGGGTAATGGACATGCATGTTTCTCCATTGCTCTTATCGTTGCCCCAGAATGTCAGATAAAATGGTCAAGACTGATGTTGCGAAGTTGTTGAATGTACACATAGGCCGATAGGTCAGGTCCATCAGTCATTTCCAGTGACACGACTGAGGCAATAGGTTGCTTCAGGGACATGAATTTGATGAAGATCGACAGTTCCGAGAGATTCAGTGCTTCCATCTCCATACGCTGATGACCTGGGAAAGAATTTGTCTAATTGTGTTCAGCGAGAGAGGCCGGTTCGATGGTGTATTTGCAGCAGAAATTGAAGTGTTGGCGGCAAGACGACATTTTGTGGTCCCAAATTCGATTCCCATCTGCCCTGAGAAAGCTCTCGTAAGGCTTCTCTGGGCCTGTTCTTCATTCGCTCTCAGTCAATACGTAGCGCAGGCCGCCATGGTTCCCAGGCCTAACAGGAATCATCCACGGAAAAGAGGAAATGCAAGATGCTCGAAAGCCTAAATCTAAATTCCATTCGTGATTAAAGTGCAGGTAATTTCCCTCATTGGGATTCTGCGGGTCACTGAGGACAACCAGGTTGTATGAGAATCGCCACCGCGCAGGGCAACAACTGATCAGGATCGCTCGATTGTCACAGCTAGTTGGCGAAAGCTGACAGCAGGGTTGGTTGCTCTGAGATTCGTATCTTGACCTGCAGATCCTTGTTAATCGCGTAATCTGATGAGAGGGAGAGAGAAGCCATGACTTACTGAGCAGGAAGGTCCTGAGATTTTAATAAATAATTTGGGTTCTCGAAATTGATGATTTCTGAACGATGGGAAATGGTGGTTCTGAAACATATCGATATTGGGAATCATGGTGTATATATACGTGATAGCCTCTAAGGATGGGACATGCATCTAGTTACATGGCCTCATCCTCCACGTTCCTGACAGAGCATTGGAGCACAGTCCTCGACCCATTCAGACATTGATGGAGTCTATACGAACAGTCAATGAGCCTTGTATCTAAAAGTCATCATGTTTCAATCTCACCTCTTTTGAAGGTTATATACATGCTTCCAGCAACGTGCAAGACGTAAGGCTTCACCGGGCGACAGCAATCACCACGGTATTGCAAGAATCCTCTCCATGGATAATCAGCTGAGCATGTGAGTCTTCACAGAGCCCACGGTTCATTTCAGAAGACTGGTGCTCCAGCTCCTCCTGGAATGGGTACACCATAGTATGTAAGGAGTCCAAATGGTGAAGGTTGTTTTAGAGAACGAAAAACTTGTAGACTGCCAGCTTTCCTTTTGTTTTTCTGGGTATGCACTAGACAAGACGAGAAATTTGAATGACAGCTGCAACTGGCAGTATGAGATTGATGGTATATATATAAGGGAATCTTGGAAGATAAAAGGAAATTCAGAATGGACGGAAGGACTGAGGATATATAAAACCCCAAAGCGCATTTCTAAGCAAGAGGAGGCAGATAGACATGAGAATGATATTCAGAATCTAGACCAAACGAAGTCATAGGGATTAGGGTGAGGCCGCCAATGGGGTCGCTGCGCTTCATTCGATATACGCAGTGCTGTTTCACAGTCTTCATGTGGGTTTCTAAGGTCACAACCGGTGATCGTGGCCAAATGACAAGCCCACCTATTCAGGTAGTATCTCACCAACAAGGCGCATGCCCATCTGCAGCCGCCTGGAGGGAGATTCTAATCTAATCCTGGCCTGTACCCAGACGGGATGTTGTTTGCGCCTGTGGCCGTCCTGGGGATTCAGCTTTCTGCGCACATACTCCAATGCAACCTACCAGGATAGCGGTAAACGCAGAAAAAATACCTGCCACTTTCGTTACTGTACTTTCAGCTGGGTTATGAGCTCCTGTTCTGGTTTGCTCGCTGTTGGCCCTCATATAGACCAGTGTAGTATCCAGCATAGTACCAAGCCATCATGAGGTTTTTGAGTCCTTCGTCTTGCACTAAAGGAAGTCAGTTTCTCCAGAGTGTAAAAAGGAGGCAATGCATCTTACCTTGTGATAGGGTGGCATGAGGCATAGGAGGCGCTCCTACGGGACTGGGCCCGGCCGTTTGCTCCGTGACCTGGGCACCCTGTACAAAGGGTTGTTCTGGCCCTTCCGCAGCCTAGAATGAAGTCAGCCTAGTAGATTCATCCGGCAAACTGAGTAACTCACCTGCGACATTTTGGCCTGTGACACCTGTTGAGGTTCGGCTGGAGTTGTTGCATTGGCAGTAGTGTCGGCGTCGACATCGGCATCCATGCGGTCGGCCGACTCGTCCAACGGCTGCTCATCTTGCTCCACCTCAGCTTTCTCAGCAGCCTCTGCTTCCCTCAGGACATCTTCAACATTCTCCCCCTTCGCATGGATGCTGTGGTAGAGCTGTTATGTTCGGGTCAGCGAACGGATCACGTGCGCGGGGAGGAAGCGCATACTTTGTATTCCTCGACAGCCTCATCCCAGCTCTGGACAAGGGCAGAATCATCCCAGATCTCTTCCTGGGTGAGGGGTTTATTCGCCTTTGCCGATTTCCCCATGACCCCGGTAAGTGCGTGCAAACAAACGGACGTGTGAGAGGGTTGGGTTGCGGAGAAACAAGAGCTTAGAGTTGGAGTCGCGGCGAGGCCCCGTCGGCCGGGCTGGATTGCATTCACCGCTTGGCGGCCGAAAAAATGCGAGCAGAAAAAAAGTTTCCCGCACCTTTGCGATCCTCCGATTGTAGTCCTCCAGGAACGACCTGCAATTTTCCCCAAAAATCACAGCAGGATGGCCCCCGACAAGAAGGACAAGAAGCGCAAGGGTATGTATTGTTACACCATTTGAGAGATTTTCATTCTCAACCCGTTGGTACGCCTACTGACGCTGCTCAGCTGCCGCCGCCGCTGCCGCCGATTCGCCCGCAAAGAAGACCAAGAAGGTCGAGGCCAAGCCTGCCGAATCCCCCAAGGACGCCCCCAAGTCTATCCTCAAGAAGGCCAACCAAAAAGAGTCGGCTGCAAAGACCGATGGCGCTTCGAAGGCGAAGGCCAATGGCCAGCCCGCCAGACAGATCAAGCCTCGCAAGCGTGCGGCCGATTTCCTGAGCGACAACGACAACAGTGACTCCGAGGCGGAAGTTGCTGAGACCAAGGTTCAGAAGGAGGAGAAGCCTACCACCAAAAAGTCGAAGAAGGAGGACGGAACTGCTGCTCCTGCGACAAAATCCAAGCCCGCCAAAACCAACACGAAGGCTAAGAAGGCAGAGCCTGTCCCTGAAGAATCTGAAGAGGAAGACGAGTCCGCCGCCTCGGATGCTAGTCAGAGTGAGGATGAGGAGGACGACCGCACAGCCGCCCTTATCAAGGGCTTTGAGAGCAGTGGCAATGAGGATGAGTCTGGCGATGAAGGCTTCAACCCCGACCAGCCGGTCCCTAAGATCCCCGATTCGAAGAAGGCCAAGCGCAAGATCTTGAAGAAGCAGAAGGAGAATGCCGGTCAAGCAGAGGAGCCTGGAACGGTTTACGTTGGGTAAGTTGAACCGTCAGGAAGTTCGTTTGTGACTACTATTGACACGCTATGCTACAGACGCATTCCCCACGGTTTCTACGAACACCAGATGCGCGCCTACTTCAGCCAGTTCGGTGACATTACCCGCCTGCGTCTCTCCCGTAACCGTATCACCGGTCGCTCCAAGCACTATGCTTTCATCGAGTTCGCATCTACCTCTGTCGCTAAGATTGTCGCTGCCACCATGGACAACTACCTCATGTACGGTCACATCCTGAAGTGCAAATACGTGTCCCCCGAACAGCTCCACCCGGAGGTCTGGAAGGGTGCCAACAGACGGTTCAAGCGCACCCCCTGGAACCGCATCGAGAAGAAGCGTCTGGACAAGGGCAAGACGAGAGAGCAGTGGACGGAGCGCATTGAGAGGGAGCAGAAGAGACGCCTCGCCAAGGTCGAGAAGCTCAAGGCTATCATGGGCTACGACCTCGACATTCCGCAACTGAAGAGCGTGGATGAGGTTCCTGTCCAGGAGGCCAAGGCGATCGAGGCATCTGAGCCCGCTGCTGAAGAACCCGCCAAGGCTATTGAGGCTGCCCCGGTCGAGGAGCCCAAGGCCGAGAAGCCCGCTGAAGATACCCCTAAGAAGACCAACAAGAAGACCAAGAAGGCTGCTCAGTCCCCTGCTGTGCAGGAGACTCCCAAGTCGGCAGAGAAGTCTACCCCGAAGAAGACCACCGAAGAAGCTGCTTCCCCAGCCGCTCAGAAGGCCAAGAAGGTCCAGAAGAAGACCAAGGCCAAGTCTAAGGCTTAGAGGGATGGGGGGGGTATATAAACTTTTGTATTTCTTCCTTATGGCATTAAACAAGAATTACCCGGAGTTCAATTGATTGTACATGAAAAAATAGGGACATTACTTTCGCTTCAACAAGCAATTTTTGATTCTTGATTCTGTCCAGTAAAATTACTATTCTCAGTAAATTCTCAACATGCCTCAGGCACTAAACGCAACACCATAGAAAATCAAAGTCACATGACCCATCACGACCCACAGCTCCACATCCTGACTAATCGGCTATAAAAAAACCCACGCACCGAGTCCGAATTTCCTCTTCTTTCCCTTTCTCTCCCAACTCCTCGCTCAAAGAATCGCATTCAAAGCTCACACACAGAGAGATATCTTTATGATTCTCTCTTCCTCCAGCTTTGGGAGAAAGTCCCCGGACATCCTGACTGTTTAAACGTCCTCTTGCAGGGCCCAGTCAGGCAATGCGGAAACGCGCCGCCATAGAAGCAATTCGATAGCGGCTTATACGCCCTATTCCCCTCCCAGTGTTGTCTCTGTACCCGAACACAGGTTTTGACCGGCTTGTGGGTAACAATGGTTGGTGCAGGGCAGTGCTGGAGAGGGGGTTTTATCTGGGTTGCCTTTCGTCGTGTTTGGATAGTCATGCGATTGCCCTCTTATATATTTCTTCGAACAGACCTCCATTCGGCTGAAAAGTTGGGGAGGATTCATCGGGAAATCAAGGGGGTAACTCAATGGGGCTCATTCTTGAGGCGAGGAGTTCATTTTTTCCATGATATTTTTCTTTTACGAGTCTGTAGCTTATGGAAAGCGGTGATTGTGGGCCTTGGTGATTAGGTTCATCTTCTGGCTTCCGTCGCAGATGCTCTGTCGAAGGAGCCGGACTCTACTTTTACTTTCCATCTATCTATTCTTGATGATGTTTTGATATTGTTCGTGTGATGATATACCAATCATAGAGTCAAGCCCTGAAACCCCTACTACGGTATGGGGTTGTTGACGATAAACGATTGTTTTTCTATCTGATGAACAAACACATACTCATTATTGATATCCTTATTACAACGTTATTATAACCTGAAGAAATATGAATGCAACTATCTCCCAAGAAACAACGAATAACTGTCTTATTTTACACATCCAACTCCACGTAGCTTAAATCATCCATGTATACATTAGCATAGCATACATACATAACTTCATTGTGTCTTCTTCGCAGCAGGCGCAGCAGCAGCAGTAGCCCTCTGCAACAGAACAGCCGTCACCACCTCCGCCATAGTCGTAATCGCCGTCGCACAAACATTACTCCAAATCTGGATGCTCACCGACCCCATGGGCGCACGGGGGAACGACAGCAGCCACGCCACGTAGTAAGGAAGCCAACCCTCTGGCAGATGGAAGACAGGCGTTTTCGAGTACCAGAATTGCAGGAAGAACTTGAGACCAGATGTACCGAACCAGCGAACGATTTTGACGCCCCAGTCGAAAGAGGTTTTCTGCGAAACGAGTTGTTTGTCTGTTGAACCGCTTTTGTTAGCTCTCACTTCAACCAGCTATTCTCCCCAACCTCCGAAGTCCATATTTATAGACTGTAACTGCGATTGGAATCGAACGTACTTATCGCCTCATATTCCTCCATGGTCTTATCATGTTTCCGTCGGAGTTTCGCCCATTTCGCAAACTCATCCTGTGAGCTGGTGTTGTTCATGTCCCGCTTCAGCTGGACAACCTCGCGTTTGAGTCGGTTTTGTTCTTTGTATTTCTTCGACGTGGAGGTCGGGACTTTTAGGTAGAGGAGCCATAGCTAGATTATACTTGTTAGCTTTACCTTACACTCTGACATTTGGTGTGCGAGAGAATAGCTTAAGACATGACAGCTACAAGGCCGCCACCCAGCAAGCTTCCAGACAGAACGTACCAGATTATCAATCGTGCTAGCGCCAATGGTATTAACCAAATAAATGGCTACATGGACAAGAAAAACCGACCACAGGAGCGACAACATGGTGGGCTAGACGTTGGTGCGATCAATTGATGGAGGGGAGGGAAAGGAACAGATCGAAATGGTTCCCGGAGATGTGCGCAAAAAAAACCACGAAGCCCGACCGACTTGTGGGGAGAGTGATGTGTGCGACCTTCCTCAGACAAGCAAATTTCCAAAAGGCAGCTCGAGCTTAACAATGAGCGAGCAGACAAAGAGAGACCAAGGCTGAGGCTGAAAGAGAAATGACATCCATGATTGGAGTGAGAAAGCAAATGACGTTGTCACGTTGTTTCCCGCCCGTCGGCCGCGGCGCGGCACTTTCATTTCCCCCCGGAGCTTTAAACCATGTCCTTTCCAACATCAACATAACGTCCGCTATTACTACGATTCGTACGCCATGCTGCAAGGCGGGTGATCCTCAATGTCTACTCCTCCGGATGAAAATGCCGCTTATCATGAACTCGCTCGAATATTCTCCGCCAGACGCAAAGATAATAACGTCTTAGAGATCGAGATACTCCCGCCCGGTCTTGGTCCACTGCTACAAGATGGGAACTCGGTCGGACTTACGAAGAAGTACCTGGTTCAGGCTTTCGTAACGGCCAGACGAATATTCTTCGATGCATCAAACGAGCCGTTCTATTTTTCCGATGCCAGTGGTCATGAAGACGAGCGCAAAGCCCCGCAGAACGAGTCCCTACTACAGAAACGAAGAGACGGCCTGCTAAACGCCAGCGAAATTATCCTCCTCTTCGATTGTGAACATCTGACGGCATGCAGCTGGCGCAAAAGACGTCTGGCTGCCCTAAGCCAGCGTGCTGGCTCTGCGGACGCCGGCTATACTCATCGGGAGATGCTCATCCGTGAATTGGATACAGAGATGTCTCTACTGACCACCTACATTTGCTCTCCACTGCATCGTCATACGAAATCTCCGACACTGTATAACCACCGGCTATGGGTGTTGAGACAGATGCTATCTGACAGTAGCAGAAAATTGGCCGGGAGAGAAGATGACGAGGAGATCGTTTCCAGCCAAAAGGTGCTAGAGAAGGAAGTATCTATTGTTCTCCGATCCGGAGAACTGCACCCGAAAAATTACTACGGATTCACTTATTTAAGACAACTTCTCGACATCTTATCGGGCAGTGATGAAGACCAAGAATGCGCTTCTGCGCGTCTAGCTGCCTTAATCATACCAGAAGTGTTGGACTGGTGTCTCGCACATCCCAGTGACATTTCCGGCTGGATGTTCACTTTGCGCCTACTGGACTCGGTTCGTGATGAAGAGACCAGAACAGACTGTATTGACAGGGTATTGCGATTCGCGTTGAACGTTGGTTGGGAAGGCGAAAGCATCTGGACGTTTGTGAATTTGGCGACAAAGATGACAGGCGTAGGAGCCTCAACAAAAGCCCAATGCAAAACGCTGTCAAATGCATTGGCAAACCTTCCTTTGTCTGAGGTTGGGGCTGCAGACGGGTGGAAGGGCTGCTTGGAAAGGGCAAGGGCTGCTTGGGTTGCTGGTCAGCAGGCGGACCAACGACACGGCCCGGGATAGAGATAGGGTAGACACTATGTATTATATATCACAATGTAAAGGTTTGTTGCACCATATGCGCCGTCTTTTATGCAAACTTGAACGCTGTTTGATAGAACGCCTCGCTAAATGCCATTGTCTTGTCACATGTATCTGCAACGCACACCCATTTGATAAAGCCAGCCAGTCACATTGCTAGCCTTAACATTCGTCCCAGTATCAAGTGTATCCAGTTCGGGCACCCAAGAAACAGCCTCCCGGATGGAATCATACAAGTTGGAAAAATGCGTAACCAAAATCGTAGACGAGGACTATGCGATATCGAAAATTCGTAGGACACCCCGGTCTGACTTATACAACGTGGGCGAAGACAGATATCTTTATTTCTTCTTGGCCCCTGCAAGTGCTTCAGCTTCTTTCCGCTGATTGGCTTTAAACACGATGAAGAGTCAGTAAGATAGTGATCAAAGGGTGGCGCAAGAACAGTAGATCAAAGCCTCACATACCCAACGCTTGTTTCGCTCTCATCTTATCAGCATCATTCTCCTTCTTGGCCAGTATACCACCCTTGCCAACCTCAGTCTTGGTTTTCTATGCAGCAAAAGCCTGTCAGTAACTAGGAAAAATTTGCTGCATTTTGGGCAAGGACTCACCGTTTGCGCCTTCTTTTTGAGGTTCTTCTCACGGTCCCTGTCTCTCTGGTTTCCTCGGGCCATATTGACAGTCGGGTGTCACAGGTCACTATATCGTAATCTGTACTGCGCAGGCGGCCCTTTCAAAGCAAGTGGGAAGAGTGGAGGTGAAGGGAACTGAAGTGTGGCTTTTTTGCCTCTTCGGGATCTTGAACCGCAGCATGGAAGGTTTTCCGGCATCCCTTTTCGGTTTCTGCAGGCCGCCGAGCCGCCGCCCCCGGAAATCCCTCATTCAGTCTTCTCGGCCTTGTCGCCCAATCTCACTGTGGTCATCTGCCCGTCGAACAACAAATATTGACTGCATGTAGTGCTACGTAATTCAACAAGTTGGTTTTGTCAGGAAGACAAATGCAAGCATACACAGACCCAGAGACATTGCGGCTGAGACATATAGTGTATGAATTAGTGATGAATTGAGACATGTGGCTAACACAGTCATTGTCACCAGTCTAGGTAAACCTGCGTAACTTGGATGTACTCGCGCCGTCCCTTATCACACAAACATGAGCATGTCCCGCAACCTTTTACGGTACATGGGAGTACATGGGGTGGCCCCAGATTTGATTGGCTGGCTGAGAGGACGACTGGTCACCACGACTCTGGAGCCCTCGGAAGCGTAGAGCGTCGGGTGACACAAAAGTCGCTGCAAATAGCATTAACAGGCCCGCCTTACCGCAGGACCTCTCAACAAGCGGCCTCCCCCAGGGCATGACGATGATGGCCTACTGCAAGCGGATTAGGACTGATTCTTGATGGTCGGTGTTAAGCAATGATTACCTAGTGTAAAATTCCTCGACGCGCGACTATTTCCTCGTCGGTTTGGCTTTTAGGGAAGTCAAGGCCGAAGGCGCAGTGTCCCGTATCAAACATTCGCTTCTATCTTTTATGATGGCGGTAGAGTCGTAAGTAGCAGCTTGTTTTCCGGGACCACGTTTCTTTCGTATCATCAATCTCCCAGGAGCTTGTTCACGGCTTCATCGTCTCCGCACCACACTTGTAGTAGGTATGTGGCAGACTTGGTCGGGTTGAAGTAAGGTCCCAACGAATATTCCAGCCTTTTTATGGACCGTACCATCTGCTGTATGGCCTCTGTCTCCTCCCCCCGACGTTTCAGAACCAGGGCCGAGAAAAACAATGTGTAGCCATGGTCTGGGCCGAATGTATTGAGGCAGTCCTCAAGAATTTCATTTTCCAATTCTTCGGCTTTCTGGATATTATTCCAATTAGCATATACCTCCGAAAGATCATGCTTCATTACAAGGGTGTCCCAATCATGAGGGCCCAGCTTATTCGACGCTATACTTAGCGCCTGCAGTGCCAATTGCTCCGCGTTTGGCCAGTCATTCAGCCCTGCATAGATGTCGACCAAGCGTTGTCTGCACTCCTGGGTTTCGGAATCCTCAGTACCGATATTCTCCTCAAGTAGCTGCAGGGTGGGGACGGCCAATTCTTTCGCCTCTGCCCACCTCTTTTGGCCGATATAGACATCAAGAAGCGTCTCCGCAGCAGACAGAGTCCAAATGTGTCCCGGGCCATACATTATCTTCCGAACAGTCCAATCTTTGTGTGCAAGTGCTTCGGCCTCTGGCAACCTGTTTAGCTCTAGATAGAGCTTTCCAAGGTGTCCCATGATGTCCGTCGTCATCTCATGCTCCTCTCCAAACAAGGACTTTGACTCCTCTAACGCTTCCAATATCAGACCTTCCGCCTCCGAAAATCGACACTGTCTTCTGTAGACGCTTGACAAGTTGACCATACTGGTTAAAGTCAACCGGTTCCTTGTTCCAAGCAGCCGCTTTCTTGTTGTCATGACAAGCAAGTCCAGTTTCTCGGCCTCTAACAGTCGATTCTGACTACAATATGTCGAGGACAGACTAGCAAGGCTTTCTAACGTTTCTGGATGTTCCATACCAAATTCCTTCTTATTCTCTTCGACAATGAGAAGGTCCAATGCCTCTGCTTCGTCACAACGACCCCGTTCCCAGAGATAGAAGGCTATTCCTTCTTGAAGGTATAGCCTTCTTCTCAACCACTTCCCATGTAGCTCGGGGGTGTATTTCAAAACTGACATCGCGTGGGGTAGATAAGCAGCGCAAGTGGGCCAATTTTCAAACTTGGCGTCGGGGTAAGACTCCGCGAGTATATCCATAGCATGGATAGCTTTATCTTCAAATTCATGTTCGATGATCAGCCATTTGCGCACGGTAAGTTGTACAAGCCGGTGAATAGAGAAGCTTTGACCGGTTCCGTTCGCTGTTATTAGCGAGAAAGCCTTAAGCGTGCCCAGCGCCTTTGTCAAGTCAAGCGGTTTGGTGAGCTTTTGTTGCATCAGGCTTGTCGGAATGTGATGTTGATCAAGAAAAGCGATGAGGGACAGAGAATCGATGGCATTCGGCTCTTTGGTATTGATATGATCTAGAGAAACGATCAGAGTGGTAGCAAGAGCATTTGGGGTTTCGCTGTCTCTCCCTAACGTCTCGAAGGGCTCGCACAGTAAGCCCATCCTGGTCTCGTCACTGTCATTATGCAGTCTCATATATTCATTCACAGTGAGCACATTTTCTTCCATAAACGAAGCGGCTTGCATGATTGCCAACGGTAAATAATCGAGCATCTCCGCGAGCTCATCCATATCTGAATCTGTTGGATAATCACCACTTAAAGCAGACTTGATCAAGCATCTCGACTCTTCCTTGGTCATAGTTCCCACTTCAATCATGTTTTGTCCAACACCCCTAACGAATCTGACACCAGCAGCTCGGTTCCGCGTTGTGATAAGAATGGATCCATAAGAACTTTCAGGAAGGTACTGGAGGATTGGAGAGTCCTCTTGCAGCTGCATGGCTGACGTGGAACCTTTCTCACATTGACGGCCATCTAACGTGAAGAATGAGGCTTGGTCAGCGTTATCGATGATCAGCAACCAGCGTTTACACTGCTTTTCAAGCCACTGCTTGACAAGCCTGAGATTGTCTTGTTTATCATTGAGCGGACATTCAATATCGCATTCCTTGATCAAATCATTATAACTTTCTCGGAACCGACTGATACTGTTCGCGTGAATCCAAAACACCGAAACGCCGGGATGAGCGTCATGGACTTGGTGCGCTAGCTCAATGGCTATCTGGGTTTTACTGGTTGTTCCCTTAGCCAAGAACTTCCTGGTAGAATCTGCAAAACTTACCCGACACCTCCGAGGCCATACAAGGCTACTCTAGAATGAACCTTTCCAAGTGGCATGATACGCTCCATGACCTGACTTAATGTGTGTTCACGGCCAACAAACCCGGGATTACGAGTAAACGGTACCATCCCTGTCCGGTTGGTACACTGTAAGCCGATTTCCAGTATTTCATATATGTAGTAATGCAGAGGACCTACAGAAGCAAGGATCGGCTTCACCGGCCAAAAGGGTGGAGTCTGATTCATCAAAGCAACTGGTCAAAGGCCGCTCCGTCCCTGAATTCGCTAGTTCGACAATCAGCGAAGACACGTATTGATAACGATCGTCTTTATCGCAGTGAAATCTGCAAATCTCTTCATGGTCGGCATTCAATGCGACCGCTTTCTCACGGGAGTCAGGCAAGCCAAGAACAGCAGATTCTTTTTCAACGACCTAATTCGAGCAGTGAGTCTTGTTAGTGCCAGCACCTAGTCCATTATTAAAATACTTACTATGCCGATGCTTTTGAATGGTAGAGTCTCATAAAAGCTCAGATACTTATAGTTTTCAAGAAGCTTGTCAAAGTTCGCAGATAGCTCCAGGGCATAAAGGCTGCCTTTTGAAAGAGCCTTCAGTAGGGTATTGCTCGCTGTTCCTAATATAGCCCTCACGAACTTTGCAGCCACGCCTCCCACACGTGCGAGGTGCGTCCCTCGATGTGGCGTACCGAAGAACGCGATTCCAAATGTTGAGGTGCATATCGAGCCATACGTTGTGCTGAGTTTGGCTTGTACAAGCGCCTGGCATTGAAACCATAAGAGACAGCCCAAGAACAGCTTCTAGCTAAGAAGCTTCATACCTCTTTGACAACAATCCCTCCCAGGCTATGAGCAATGAAAAGCAGGGGTCGATATTCACAGTTCTGCAGGCAATGTAAGCTTCTGGGACAAATCCAGTCATACAGTTGCTGTTGACTACCTCTCTTTCCAGTCTTAAGCGGTCAAGGAGGACATGTGCCTGCTCCCGCACTCCAGCTGCGGATGACTGGATTACAACTTTAGAGTTGTAACTGAAGAGGAAAATCCTGGCTCGTGGCAGTTGCTTGGGAAGAAAATCCCTGAGCCAAAGTTTCCCATTCGACTCCCAGGTCTTCTCAGCATGATTCTTTTTGCTTTTAGGGTTGAGTCCATGAACGGCGATAATGCTACTGTCAGTTAGCAAGCAGACATGATGCAGTTGAAATGGCTTACTCGATATTGGGATCTGCCCCGGCGGACAAAATACGCAAATAATACTCGCCCTAGAATGCTATTAAACCCCTCTTCTATCGGCGTCCAAACAAAGACCCTACCATCATGGTATCAATTCTGCTTTTTCACTGGGCTTGATGAACTACCGACCCTTCCTGGGTGGTGAATAGTTGCGTTGCCCTTCATAATTCGGAATGGTCCTAAAGACTCGGGGCCTCCCCTCATTAAGGCCATTGCGACCTTCCTTAACTAATCAATGCGAGCTGCTGCGCCGCGTATGTTCAGCTTGTCAAGGGGGTACCGTGGGCGGCTGTGTTGCTTGCTTGATTGGACAAAGACATGTAGCGTCCAACATCCCTGTAGATCTGCTCTTTTAGTACATCGCATGTATGAGAACCCAGGCAGAACATTTAACACTTACTACTTACTGTAGCTTTTTAGAGAACCCCACATAAAGTTCCAGAATATCCATTCGATAGGTCGTCTGAAAGCCATCGTTTTGTAGATTTTGCACCCAGAAGAGTGCGGGTGTCGATACTGGGAAGTAAGGCAGAGGTGCACCCGAATAGGAAGGTAAGACTAAGTGCCCGGGACGCACTAATCTAGGATTAGCGTCGTCTTGGTCAGGCTGCAACTAAACACCCCAAACACCGCCCACTCCATCCTACTTATGTGTCTACCATAGGCCGAGATACCCGGAACGGACGCAGTCTGGTTACAGCCATTCTCGTAGCAAGCGCTTACACAGTGCATTGCTATTAATATTGTGGGAAGTATTGGTGGCAATGCAACCGGTAACAGCTCGGCGCTTGCCTCCCTCTCTCATGCTTGAACACAGGCGTTCCCCGTCCTTCTCTAGATATAGTATAGTATAGTAGCAGCACCTCTCAAACTGATGAAGCAATGGATGTTAACAGAGCACTTTTCGTGGGCTGAAACCATTTAACTCACTTTTATGGTACAATTTCTATCTCTATTCATCAATTTCGCTGGATACGTGAAGCCATGGCTCTGAGTCGAGGACCCTAAGCGCTGGGTGCTTATTCTTGCAGGCTTTTGGCTCAGGAGGGATCCATCAGGAAGTCCAAGACGAGAGGAACACTGATCGAGTCAGGGACCTGGAAAAGGGCATATGCCGCCCAAGTAGGTAACGGGTGTTTCTAAGGGCCAGAATGAATGGCTATTGTTCATTCAATGTCGTGTCGAAAGTGTTTCAGCCTCAGGTTCGCGCCTATTGTGTCTATTCTTGTCTTTGTTGGGCATTTCAGTCCCGCTTAAGCAGACCACTGTCCGGCATTTGTAGATCTGACAGATAATAACATCCTCTGTCTTTCTCAATTCTCTCGTTAATCTTTGGGTCCCCGTTCTTTCTTTAACTCCCGAGTTGACCTCGTGGTTCTTTCTTTCCTTGCTCATAAGCCATATCAATTAGCACTCTGCTGCTGGTCAGTCCCTGCCTTTCATTCCTTTCAATCTACAGGTTTTTGTTGCAGAGTATAAAGGTGCATTACAATCAGAACGGATATCCAACTTTATAACTTGTTAAGACACAATCACACATCTTCATACTGGTCACGGAAAAGTTCGAGCTTCCCTGCAGCTGAGCCGCTGACCTAACACCGAAATCATGATGGCTTCGTTGAAAGAATCCCTGGCTGGTCCAGGATATGTGATTCTTAACGCCATTCGTGTTATCAACATTGTTGTGTTTCTGGACATCATTGCTGCCAGTGCGGTCATGCTGGTCAAGATTGACTTGTTAACAGCTTTTTTCTTTTTTGAGGCTGTCTCCCACGTCGCCACTGCAGGCGTTAGTAGTAAGTGGCCTATGCTCCAAACACTCTACTAGATGGCTCATACTTCATCGTGACAGTATTCCTGATTATCTCCGAGCTTCCCATTCTCCGCGGTTACTTCGATCGGAACTGGCCATTGTTGGGGCAAAACTCTGGGTTCATCACTTTGGCGATAGCAATGCTGATACTGGGAGTCGGAGTCCTGGGAGACCTGAACACAAAAGCCACCAGCCAGGAATCTCTTGGGATGGCATTCTGGAGGCTTGTGCTCTCTGCTGGCATTCTAGCCATGATCATGAGCGTGATCAACGTGGTTGCGGTAAGTCGGACTTCGGGTTTATTTTGGACGCATAACTTATAACGTAAAAACCCACAGAGCTTTATCTTCGCTGATAGCGATCTTGGTGTCAGTGCACGGCATGTGCGCGTCTATGGAGCAGTGGCGCCCCAGAAAGTGATGACGCGAAATGGCAGCCAACGTTCATTCCAGCTAAGTATGAAGAGGGAGGAAACTTTGCCGACCTACAGCCCCCAAAGCTCGATAAAAAGGCAGATGTCTATGCGACAGAATACGCGATTTCCCCTGAAGATTTCTTCGCCCGTCAACCCTATCAACATAAATGATGCGGCGTCATCGAAGTACTCGAGGGACTCTGCAGGGATGACTATACCCGATCTCGCTCATCACCCGGCAATGCAGTCATCGCATGTTTAAGGGAGCGTAATGAAACATTGTGCTTTTGCGATGACACGACAAGGAGTTCAGATGCAGGGACATCATGTGCGTTGGCGTTGGCAGTATGGCAATTAGCGAGCATAGGCAATAAGGACGTTCTGATTTTCGGGGTTTGCATTTCTATTTGCAATATCAATCGTTTAATCATGTTTCATTTTACCACAAACCATTGATTTGAATTCAAGTTCTATTTTAAAACTGTCTCGATGATCTTCTCCAAGCTCCGTAAAACCAGATCGAAAGTTTAATGTGCTGAGCAGGTGTCCCTGATCCGCGTGCCTGGCCAGTAGGAAAACATACTTTAGCGCCCACCGGCGATAAGATAAGCCCACTTGAGGCCAACTTCCGCTTCTTGTACCGTCCTGAATCTGGATGTCCCATTACCACTGAACTGCAATGCGCCATCGCCATTATCCGCAAAGATGGGTGAAATAGCGATCTCATTCTCAACGTACGCGCTCACCCTACCAGGAATCTCTCATCCAGACTCACCACTAACCTCCACATCCCTTTTATCAGAATCAAATCTGTCCTCATCTTCTTCGCGCCCATCATCATCCCCCGAGCCATCAACTACTACCGCACCCTCCGCGTCGCCCTCTCCAGCCGCCCACCACCACGCCCTCTTCCCCAAGATGCCAGTCGAGCCTTAAACGTCCTCTTCCTCACCATAACCCTCTTCTTCTGCCTCAGCCTCCCGTTCAACCCGCACGCGCCCAGTCCCAGCATCTTCACCCTCACCAACTCCCGCCTCACCACATCAACAGACATCATCTTCTCGCGCCTCGCGCGTCTCCGCCCCAATGAATCCCTCACGGAATCCGACACTCTCCTCAAATCAAAGCTTACCTCCATCGTCGCCCGCAAGATATACCTCCGCTTCGGCCCCGAAACCCTAACCAACTGCGCCTTCTGCTCCCTCGACAACCTCACCACCTACGCTATCTACCATCTCCCCTTCAACGTCCTCCTCCCTCACCTCTTCCACATGGCCACAATCGGATTGATAACGTCCTCAGTTTTCGCCGGCTCCGACGCAAGTAAATGGCGCAAGGAGTTCTCCATCATGGGCATTGCATTCGCCCTTCTAGACATCTACGTGGTCATGTCCTACGACCCGATGGCGTACGCGTCCGCGGCTGTGCGCGCAGGCGTAGCAGTCCCGTCTAGCTCATACTATCAGATCGGTCTCTTGCGTCCGCTGCTGTTCGCTATCTTTGACGGGGTATGCGCCCTGCTGATTTGGCTCTCCGCTACACGGAGGTTCTTCTTTACTCCGCCGTCGCAGGCAGAACAGGTCGAGCAGGTTGTGTCTGCGTCATTGGGGGCACTTTCGGGATCTACGTCGAAGCTGCATGCTGTGAGTGTGGCGAGGAATGCGGTCGTCAGAGATAAGATGCTTAGGGACCGGGATGAAGCGTATTGGCGCACGGTGGTCGCTATGAATGTGGATAATCCGGCAATGAAGGCGGGTTCGGTGGTGAGTGGTGGAGAGAACGGTGAAGAGGAGGGAGGAGTGCCCCCTACATCGATCTGGGAGGAGGAGGAAGTTGTCCGCGCGATGTCTCGGGCGATGGCGGGTCAGGGGGGTGTTGATTTGGCGAGGTTGGGGATGGATGCGGCGGAGTATGTTAATGGTGTTACGGCGGGGTTGGAGGGGAATTGATAAAGTAGATTGTATTGATGTTTTGAGTTATATATATAGTATGTATGTTTGAGAAGCTCAGCATGTAGAAATATCTATATATCTACCCAAATACTCTGATGTCTTTGGTAGAGCGTTGAGTGAGAAGTGATCCCACCCAACTCCTACTATGTGACCTGCCACAGCACCATACAAACACAGCAAACAATAAGTAGCAACTAAGTACACACAGCGAAAGCTGTCCCAAACTCCGAGCCGTCACTACAAAAACCACAAGCCAATACAAACAACAACAACATCAAACTACTAGTCAACCGAAACGGCCAATCCCAGCCGAAGACCACTTTACTAACCATTAACTAACTCCAAAGTAGTTAAGGCGCAGGCTGACACATACCCATCCATCCATGGTCCTCCCTATACCCATCTATCTACCTGCGGTGAGAAAAGAAATCCACCGATGCAGCCAATACCGGAACTACCAACGACGAGTCTAAGCTAAGTTACATGGAGTATGTATCTAGCGGTTTCTCGGGGCGCGCGGACGGACATAGTCGAGATCGGTCCACAAAAAAGCCAGACATACCCTAATCCATGGTTTTGGAGTACTTTAGGCAACATTTTTCCCCTTCCTTGGAGATGAATGAATGCACTGCCACACCCGTACTCCATAATCCACTCCATAACGGGAGTGCCACAAAACATGGACCAGTCATGTCGGCGAATGCGGAGGCGGGCTAGTATGTACTCGGTCGAAGGGTAACTACGTACTAAGCAGTAGGCTAGTAGTTAGGACGATCAACTAGGCTACTGTGTAAAGTAGGGTTCATTGTTGTCGTTGTTGTTCCAAACGGGTGAGATTTTAGTTTTAGGTCATCGCTGTCGCTCATCGGCCGAGCGAACGCGCTAGTTCTTTGAATTCCTGCGAGGATGCTTGCTTTTGTCGGTCAATCTACTCGGCCGGATTTTGGTAAGCTGCGTCTTACTCCTTTAATTTCGGGAGGCAGTCAATTGTTCCATTCTACTTCAATCACTCAATCGCCTTCCTCTGAGTGATTGCCGATACGTGAGATTAAAGACATCCTCTTCGGTTCTTGTTGTATTCCCGCTAGAGGATGGCTGGCTCACTTCTTCCCTCGCGCTCTCGTGGGGGCCAGCCGGTGTCGTCCCAGAAGACTCCATCATGGTTCAAGGAGAAGATCACACCGGGATTGCTCTCCCTCTCCCGGCTTGCATCCGCGCATCCGATACATACAGTGGCCGCCGTCGCCTTGCTGGTTAGCTCCATATATAGCAGTCTGTTGGAAGACAGTATCTTCGATAGGACCAAGTCTGTGGCAAAGGCAGACTGGTCATCGCTCACTGCTGGGAGTAGACAACTCTATGTGGGTTCTCAATCCGACTGGAACTGGCAGTCGGAGGTTCCAAACGCTCCAGTTCCCAGCAATGTCGACCATGCCGCGCTTCTTACGTTGGTATTCCCGGAGAAGACGGAGGCCTTCCACGAGTCCTTGGCCACGCCTCTGCTCCAATTGCCGAACAACCTGTCTGTCACGCCGTTGCCCTCGACTTCCAAATCCTTCAGTGCCTACTCCAAGGAACATGTTCATTCTTTCTCCCTCCCCTACAGCCAAGCATCCGACTTCCTGGCAATGGTCCAAGAAGTACCGAACAGCAGCCCAGGCCAGGAGATGGACCACGGTGAACAACGAATGTGGATAATGAAGGATGC